CAAGGCAATTCAAAGTGCTTTACAAAAATGAAAGACATTAAGAGCATTAAGAAACATATTATGAAATGACATTTAAAAACACTCATTTAAAAGCAAAGACACATGAATACAAGTTACAGTGCAGTGTGAGATACACACATCTGAAATGTTTAGCTCTGACTCTTAATCATTGCTAACTTTTTAGCAGAAATAGTTTTCTATCACCTCCCTTTCTTATACTTTCTTGTTTAACTTGTCCTTTAGTTATTTCAAGTGTTTCATGCTAAACGAACCCCCCTTTGGAAAATTCTAATCTGACCCCATGGTACCTTCTTAGTTTTTGCCGAAATTATTCCTCTTTTCTTTTTGTTATGCACATAGTTAAGTTTACCTTGTCTTTCTTAGGAAGAGTGAATGTTGGAAAAACATTTGTCAAGTGGACACAAGCACGACTCGCTGGCTATGTAAATGGCCAACACTTTGCTAACAGATTTCTTATAGCAATTCTAGTAATATTATGTAAATGTTATGTAAATATTATGTCTGTACAGTTAATTTCATAGCCTCTAAGTATCAGTCTTTCTATTGGACTCTTGAATTAGATTAGATATAGATTAATCCGGGCAAAGCAGTTATCCTTTTGGGTTTCTCCTTAAGTGACCAAAAAATCTTTAAAGGTCACCTATCATGCTATTTTTAGGCAATAGCATAGGCCTCAGATATATACAAATATATAAAAAACATGTCTATGAAGTGTTTTGCTCAAAATACCAAACAGATCACCCATTCTAGTCATGCCTCATATCCCTCTATTTCACTTCCTGTTTCAAAAGTACTGATTTTACATTACATTACATTACATTGCATTTAGCTGACGCTTTTATCCAAAGCGACTTACAATAAGTGCGTTCGACCAACAAAATACAACTTGAAGAAAACAGAATCATATAAGTACATCAGGTTTCATAGAGCAAAAAACATTTCAAGTGCTACTCAACTGGCTTTAGAAAAGCCAGTCCTTTATTAGTATAAAAGTGCTTCGTTAATAGTTCTATCGCTCGAAGTGGAGTCGAAAGAGATGAGTTTTCAGTTTGCGCCGGAAGATGTGCAAGCTATCTGCCGTCCTGATGTCAATGGGGAGCTCATTCCACCATCCTGGAGCCAGGACAGCAAACCCACGTGTTTTCGCCGTTGGGAACTTGGGTCCCCCTCGCAGCGAGGGTGCAGCGAGTCGTTTGGCTGATGCAGAGCGTAGTGCACGCGCTGGGGTGTACGGTTTAACCATGTCCTGGATGTACGAAGGGCCAGATCCATTCGCAGCATGGTAAGCAAGTACCAGTGTCTTGAAGTGGATTCTAGCAGTTACCGGAAGCCAGTGAAGCGAGCGTAGGAGCGGAGTAGTGTGGGAACATTTAGGAAGGTTGAAGACCAGACGAGCCGCTGCATTCTGGATGAGCTGCAGAGGTTGGATGGCACATGCAGGTAGACCAGCCAGGAGGGAGTTGCAGTAGTCTAGGCGTGAGATGACGAGAGCCTGGACCAGAACCTGAGTCGCTTTCTGTGTCAGCTGGGGACGTATCTTCCTGATGTTGTAAAGCGTGTATCTGCAGCAACGGGTTGTAGCAGCGATGTTTGCAGTGATTTGGGGTGTAAAGCTTTAAAAAAAAAAATCTGCGGTGATGAAACGCCATATCATGTATTATCAAGGATTATCTCTGAAACAGTATGGAGCTCAAAGGCTTTCTCTCTTGCCGGTTATACCACAAGGTGAGTTCCTTTTTATTTCCTGCTTCTTCGCATGCATGCTCTCCAGTACAGGTTAGCTCTGAGTGTTAGCGATGCTAATGTAAACACCGACCATATTACGTCCAAAACAGTCGGGCATTGTTTCTGATAGCAACGTTTCTGATAGGCCCGTGGTTGTAAAGCCAGCCTACATTTCCGATATTACGTCATATCGGACGCAAATCTGGATCAGCTCCGTTGTAGCCCCGTTTTTAGAGATTTGGGTACGGAGGAAAAGAGAGAGGGTTTTATTTTCTGACGCTGCGTGAGTTCCCTGACGCACCGGGGACACATATTTATGTATAAAAGACATAAAAAAGTGCATTTTGCATGATAGGTCCCCTTTAATAGAATTGAGACAATCCCTTTTTTTCCTTTCAAATAAACGTAGTTCTGTAGCTCTCTATACCTGAATGCATGTTCATGTTCCCCAACCTGCTCTGCAATATTCCCACAGTTATCCTCTTTCATGTATTCAAAGCAGACCAAACTGCTGCTCCCTGGGAGGAATGTGTCATGGGATCTGCATGGAGGCTCTATCCTGTGCTAATGGCAGCTGCTCTGAGAGGCCTATTTATGATCACTTCATGTGAGTCACTGAGTGCTCTTCAAATGTATTGGCTATAGCAACACAACAGCACAGCTTCAGGTGAGTTGATGCTGTGAATGTGCGCTGGAAAAAATATTGTTTATTATTCTGGAACAGAAGGATTAAAGCAGCTGATTTCCAAAGCTGGATCTCAGAAGCTCTTGAATTTAAACTTGATTGTGTTTGTGTGAATTGTTGGATACAAAGGAGCTTTATTATATCTCAAGGTAATCAGCTTCCTGTCACAAAGTCTACCTTGATCCCTTGATAAATTCACTAAATGCTTTCAAGTCGCCTAATCCCTGAGCACTCATTTAATTTCCATCTTGTTCTCCCGCGTTTTGCTTTGGTGTGACATCAAAGAGGTAGCACTACAAACACACTGCATTCCTCTTTCAAGTAAGGGCAGATAATAGTACAAGATTACTCCCAAAACCCATTTGTCCAAGTGCATTAGACTAACTGTGGAGACTTGACAGCAGCCAGGCTTATAAGATCAGAGGCTCTGCTTTGAATTACACCTGCGCCCAGAAGATTGCTTTGACAGAAAAGTTACATGAATATCAAAAAAGATAAAGCCAACAGAACATTTTACTTTGTTTTGTTCATGTAGGTGTTCATTTGTCTTTCTATGAAGGTCATAGTTACTCCATAGAGAGCTGAAAGTGTTGTTTTTCAATAACCGCAGTGAAAAAAAGAGATGAGATTGAATTGGACACCCAGGATCAGGGCTCTCCTGCTTGAACCTGTCTGAATCATCACTCTATTTACTCCCTTTTTTTTATGACACTTTTCATATGCTTCAGTTACCTCGCAACAGGATCAGTTGTGCCTGACCATGTGACGTTCTGGGCAACCTGCAACACATCTGCTATATTTAGTTTGAGATATACTATGACATATCAAACTACAAGAAGATTTCCCAGCAAGGACAGTTGTACTTCATGGTTTCAAAGGAGGTGTCTTAGTTAACTTGGGTTAACCCTTATGTTTTGTTCGGGACTCCCGTTTCAATTTAGAGTTAGGGTTAGTAATGTGTTTTGGGGCCATACGATTACAACAGGATTGTACGGTTATGAATGCATAATAAGTTAGGTATGATGTTAAAACAATATTGGATGATAGTCATTATTTTTGAGTGTGTTGGACTGAGATAAATCAAAATGGACCCGCGAACACCATGAATGGTAACAGCTTTCGAACACAACACAAAATATATCAAATAGGTCTGATTCTCTAATGTCATTGTACATCATTTGTAAAATAGAAAATGTTAAAATCCTAATTATGAATCAAAGTCGGCAACAGCGATGGTTGTCCATCCTCTTCTCATGAATGCATTACTTTATTTAATTTATTTTAAATACTTTAAAAAAGTAATATGCTAATTTCACACTAAATGTCCAATTGGATAAAAATATACATTTATTTAATTTAATGACAATAATAATTAATTTTATATGGAAGTGCCTTTCACTTAAGCACACCTTACAATGCATTAAAAAAAAAACATAACAAGTAAAAACAGCAGAATATGATGGGCTGACAAAAAATGAGACATCATTTAAAAGCAGGCAATTTAGGACTGACAGGGATGTAAACTGCAACTCGACTCCTTGGTGGAGGCAAAAACACACGAGTCAGTTATCTATCTTTCAAAGGTGTAAACGATGGGTGGTGGTGTGAGGTCTAATAAGCAACAGGTGTAGACATTTTTAAAGATGAAATATGATCGTTTGGTTTGTGATTACTTTTATATGACAGTTTTGATGCCCAATTTGGCAGTCTGGAGCGTTGCCATGATATGTCAATTAACACAGGAAACAGGAAGTACCAGGACAGCAGGAATAGCGTAATCCTGTCATTACGGCCCGATCTGACCCACAGAGCGTCAAATACAAACCCTTTCAGCATGGCTGTTGGATAGGGTGGTCCTTAAAATTGAAAGTCGGAAAGTCTAAGCTCCAACCCCCAGAATTCATTCTATTAGTCAAGAAAACTCTCCTGTTGAATTCTTTCCTCCATCTGACAACATTTACCCCTCCCTCATCAACCTTGAAGTTTCACCCTGAGGATCCCAGATAGACACTTTTTCTCTGGGAATAAGGATTAAAATGAGAATGAAAATAAAAAATGAAAATGAATAAAAACAATCCTTGGAAACAAGTGCCATTTATTCCCAAAATGTTAGCTTAGTTATAACACACAATAACATGCAGTGTTTTATTCAGATTCAGATACCGTTTAATGCCATCTTTGCAATGAATACAAATAGGAACTTAGTGTGGCAGTAGGGGCTCAGGCAGTAGAGGCTTGGACTGTAGGGTTGCTGGTTCAAGTCCCCGAACAGACTTAAAATATGGAGTGTGGACTGCTACTTGGAGAGGTCCCAGTTCACCTCCTGGGCCCTGCCGTGGTGCCCTTGAGAAAGGCACCGGACATAGTTTCACTATTTGGCAAGATGACTAAGCCTTATATTGGCTACCTAGCGAGAATCAACCCAGTGAGCAACAGATACCAAGGATGCTGGCTGATGAAGAGGACGAAGTAAGCTAGGTAGCCACTATAAGGCTTGGCAGTACAGATAAATGTGGGCTCACTATTTGGCAAGCAACCGGTCACAGTTTCCCTGTTTATCTCATGTCTTATAAAATCTTATTAATGATTTATAAAGTGTTCACAACCTAATTAATAAATGAATTACAAACTATTCGTAAACCCTTTATAAGGGTAGTCTTATTGTAAAGTGGTACCCAAAAATCTTAAGCAAAATGTCTTTCTACCTCAAATACATAGTCACACCAGCAGCCACGGCAACTGAGGCTAAACTTCAAGGTTGATGAGGGAGGGGTAAATGTTGTTGGAATTTGAATAACATTCACCAGGAGAGTTTTCTTGACTATATAACGAATTCCGGTGGTTGGAGCTTAAAATAAATCAATTCGAAAAATGTACCTCTCACAAAGGACTGTTGGGGAGCACCGGGCTCTCAGACAATTCCAATGTTTTTGCCTAGTGATATCTTGAATTGTTTTTACTAACCTATGTCACATCATTCATAATTTAAATAGTTGTTTTTATCCAAACCATGATCTTCTTTCATACCCTCATAGCGTTGTTTTGTTGCCTAGACCTTACGACCACTGTTGCATTTAAGACACTCAACAAACAGCTAGGAGCCTTTTTGTCAATTCTCTATAATAACACATGAGAAATACTTTACATACGTTTACGTTTACGTTTACGTTTACATAAGTTACTTTAATAATGGAACCGATGACAAACACATCAAATGATAATGATAAATATATGTTGCAGCAAAAATTCAAGACAGTTCAGTTTAATCATTCTAGTTAAAAGTACATATAGTCTCACAGAAAGCTGCCCTTTTGCATCATTGACATTAAACACTACAATGAACACATTCACCAGATGTTAGCCCTGGATATTCCATATGAAAAACAGTGAACCCACGAGGGAGTGATGTACAGATTGGAGTAACGAGCCATAGTCCTTCCAGAGGCAGATGGTACAGTGCGAACCACCTGAGCCCAGACGTCAGCATCCACAGTTTGTGTCTTATTCTCTCCTGCTCCTCTCTCCTCTTCTGCGACACTAAAACTCCATCTGGAACACAAAGACAATAACATTAAACAACAAATAAAAAAATATATTTGTAATACTTAAAAATGCATGAAAGTCTTCCAGTCATATCGTCAAATCTTCTCTTATTTACAAAGAATAAATTCGATATTTTGTCTTTTTATATATTGAATTTGATATGAAAGAAATTGTAGAATGTATTACATTACATTACATTGCATTTAGCTGACGCTTTTATCCAAAGCGACTTACAATAAGTACATTCGACCAGGAAGACACAACCTTGAAGAAAACAGAATCATATAAGTACATCAGGTTTCATAGAGCCAAACATTTCAAGTGCTACTCAACTGGCTTTAGGTAAGCCAGTCCTTTGTTAGTATATAAGTGCTTTGTTAATAATTCTATCGCTCGAGGTGGAGTCGAAAGAGATGAGTTTTCAGTCTGCGCCGGAAGGTGTGTAAGCTTTCTGCTGTCCTGATGTCAATGGGGAGCTCATTCCACCATTTTGGAGCCAGGATAGCAAACCCACGTGTTTTTGGTTATGGGAACTTGGGTCCCCCTCGCAGCGAGGGTGCAGCGAGTCGTTTGGCTGATGCAGAGCGTAGTGCACGCGCTGGGGTATACAATTTAACCATGTCCTGGATGTACGAAGGGCCAGATCCATTCGCAGCACGGTAAGCAAGTACCAGTGTCTTGAAGTGGATTCTAGCAGTTACCGGAAGCCAGTGAAGGGAGCGGAGGAGCGGAGTGGTGTGTGAAAATGTAGGAAGGTTGAAGACCAGACGAGCCGCTGCATTCTGGGTGAGCTGCAGAGGTCGGATGGCACATGCAGGTAGACCAGCCAGGAGGGAGTTGCAGTAGTCTAGGCGTGAGATGACGAGAGCCTGGACCAGAACCTGCGTCGCTTTCTGGGTCAGCTGGGGACGTATCCTCCTGATGTTGTAAAGCGTGTATCAATGAATCATTATTATGACATATAATCTGATTTATTGTCAAGTAGATCCTTTTATCCAAGGATTTATTTGGTGTATTCGGCTCCGACCAGTTACATTAATATAGAATAGAACAAATTGTAATTACATTTTCTACATTGTAACTGTTTAAAAATAATAGAGCTACGCAGGAATATGCAACACAAATATTCTAAGGGATGTGCAAAGTTTCACAGTATTAGAATTAAAGAATATGTTCAAAGACAATAGTTAAAGATAATATGATACTAAAAGAATACATGTCAGTGTGAAGACAAAACAGAGAAAGGGCGTTTAGAAATAAAATGGTCTATAATTAAAAATGATTAAATAAATTACGTCTAATAAATATTGTGGAAACGAACCATGAAGAAATCAAATTGGTTCATTTTTAATCATTTATTTATATTATATTTCTGGGTCTCTATACATTTGCACCACAAAGGTAGATTACGGACCACTTTATAAAGTACTTTTATTCTATATTTTATTCTGGATTAATTGAGCATACAAGAGGACCGAAACACGAAACACCTCCACTTTTTCTAATGGTCTTTTTCTGACAATAAATATAGGCCTTCATCGGTTTCAAATTGACTTCGAATTGGGTGTAGATGTATGGGAATATGTAAAGTCGTTTTATAGATTAAATAACAGCATGGTGATGGTCACAGAATATAGTGTCTACTGCTTAGGAGGGTCTTACAGCTGTAAAATGAACGGTGCAGGAGATGGCGATGATGAGGAGGCCGATGATGATGGAGGCCACAGAGACGTAGAGAGCGTTCCTGCCGAGCCGCTTCGACCCGTCGTAGTCTCCAAGATAATAGTTGTTCCTAGACTGAGTAAAGAAATCACTGTCACAAATAAAACGTGTCAATACAGTGAAAGATTTTACTTTAAAAACGGTAACGCCAACTAAGTTAAGCTAAACCAAGCTAAGTATTTGATCAGCCCTGAGGAAGCCAACTCATGTCTCTACTTCAAGATCTGCTAATAATTAGTTCAAACTAACCACATATTGGAAACGTTATTATCTCATCTGAAGCTTACAAACATGGTGGAAGCTGGTAACATGGTTTCTTGGCTATGTTTATTTAAAAATCCAAAAGGCCTGCAGACAGATCTGGAAACATAATAAAGCGTTAACATTCGTTTTAATTTTTCAAAATGGGAGGGTTTATAAAATGGATGGGCACAACAGGTGTTTGTAACTGCCTCGTATTATAGTGTCTAACACCTTCACATACAGCAAAACATGTCCGAACACTGACCAATTGAAACACCACATTACAAATCCTCAAGGGAAACACATTTCTATATCTATTTATCTTCTCTCTGATACAGTTGTTCCTATATTATACAGAGCAGTCGTACTGTAAGATGATGTATATTCAAGAAATGCTCTGCTCACCATGATAGAGAAGACCAGGGCCACGATGTTGACAGGGTACGCAGGACAAAAGCAGGTGAAAATACTCAAACAAAGGTAGCTGCGGAGTGGAGGTGGAGGTTCCTCTATAGAGCCTCTGTCCAAAAATACACTTCCACTAAGGGAATTTTTTACTTGTGAATGTAGCACTCCAAGAGCCATTGTAACTCGGAGAAATGAAACACAGTCAGGGGGTGAAACCCACCCAAAAAGTTACAAAACAGACAGAATCCAACTCTTTCTTTATCAGAAAAGGTTGGAAGCCAGAAGTTCAAAAGTCTGATGGATTGGTCTGACACATTGCGTGGTGGTTGTAGTCCTCCTTTGAAGCTGGGAAAAATGAAGTTTGTGTTTGGAGAGCGGGTGGGAGAGGATCGCTCACCCTGCTGGCCTCCATCCAGGACACTTTGCTGAGAGAAGTGTGATGTATCGGACTCTGTTTACTGCTGCTGGCACCTCACAGAAACACACAACATGCTGATACATGGGAATGTCAATAGTTCAGTGTTATCTATAAATCTTATTTACACAGTACAAGATTTACAGTATACAAGGCTCAGAAATGTAGCTGTAGCATGTAGCCCTTTGTTTGTTTCTCTGGAAATGACACAGTTACATTTGACTTACATCTTGAATGTTTCGTCAGTGTAGCTATTTACTCATTTTTCATTTCACTCGCATTTATCTCCTTGAGCTTGCGTACAGACCTGGGTGACATAGTTAGAAAAGGAACCTATATGGTTTTAACTTGAAATGTTTGTTTACTGAGATCTTTCTGATGACAAAACAGAATCGTTTCTGCTCTTCTCTTAGGAGACAGACGGAAACTAGGAAAAGACAGACAGGAATTGACACGATGGTATCGCCAACAGTGTGTGAATATAAGTCTCCGTTGAGCAGGTGGCATCTTGTTAGACACAAGATAAGATGGACCTTTATTATCCCCGTGGGGAAATTCAGTGGTTTAACAGCAACAGGGTAAGGATGAAAAACAGGACAGCACAGATTCACGCAGGTTCATAAAATTAAAGATACAAATAAAAGTGATAAAATACTATGAAATAAGAAATGAATTAAACATCCTCTGCCTCTGCATGAATGTGTGTGAATGGCACTAGGAAAAGTGCTATATAAATGCAGCCCATTTACTATGAACCATTCTTTAGGCTGAGGGAAGGCTCTGAACTATATCGTGAAAATGTCCTCTGCCTCTGACAAGCCTCGTAGCATCTTCAGGCATGCTTGATTGGCTTTAGATCAGGAGACCTGGTCAGATAGTCTATTACAGAGATACATTCGACCTCAAGGAAGGTCATGGACAGCGAGCTGTGAGGGGACTGTCATTATCTTACATTAGGCTGTATTGATCACCAACAGGCCTGCAAATGGTCTGACAATAGGATCCAGGATTGTATTGCGGCCTCTTACAGCCGTTACACCTCTGATTATAACTCTGTATGACCGTCCAAACTGTATCAGTATATGAAGCCGTAAACCTGCTCTCACCTGTGAAGAGTACCAGCCTCCAGTGACGGATTTGTTCATTATAATTCAGTGAATAATTATCTTGCTCTAATACCATAATATAAAGTTAACTATAGTTGCAAGGAGCTCTACTTCTGCGATTGCAGACACTGGTAGCATCCAGGTAATGAAAGTAGCAGAAGTTCTATTCCTTATATGTTGGTTTGTTGACACAGCTGTTTGTAAAGACATCATTTTCACCCTCCAGACTATTCAAACATGAGCATAACGCAACCCCTAATCACACAGACAGTGCACACATACTAAACATTATACACCAGGTGTGTCCTAGTTCAATTTAGTTTAACCGTTATCGCACAACCTTACAAAAAAATCACCACCATGGGCAACTTTTGGTCTGTATCCCCAGGACAAATCTGCTTTGGGAGGGATGTTTGTTTTTAAAATACCTCCACTTCAAATTTAGAAATGTTAAAACCCACAGCATTATGTTTTATTTAGAGAAAGACCACTTTATCAAGATTGCACATCGTGGGATATTATTGTACCTGCATGTATAACCGTTCACTAATAATAAAAGGACAATGACAATCGAACGCTTTAGAATAATTTATTAGGATTTTAAAATTGAAATTATCAGAAAAATAAAACAAGGGAAAAAAAGCATTGTTGTAAAGCTCGGCGGGGGACAGCCCGAATCTTGAGCTCACGAAGAGACCCAAGCTCCATTCAAAGCAGTGGCCCTTTTCTTTACATCAACACAACAAAAGACATCATTAAAATCAATATACAAGGGGAACAAGATCTCAAAACAGAAAAATATAGTTTCTTTTTTTTTCTTTTCTGAAAATAAGTCTTAATGCCGCAGAATTATCCACACGTCTGCCATTACCAATAATAGTACTATTTTCATTTGTAAGGTAAAAAATAACTTATTGCTTTATTGTAAGTTAAAAAGTTACAGTGTTGGTGTCCAGCAGTAGTTTTATGTCGTGTCCAAGGCGGTCTGACAGAGGAACTTCTGGCTGGATCAGGACGTTTTCTGCTGTGCTGAACATCAAACAGGCTGCAGCAAGAAGGCTGAACAAACAGCCCACTTGTTTTTGCAAAAGGTTGAATTTGTTCCAGCTTTTTGAATCTTCCTGCCAGCCAGTGTCGTCTGTTCTGAGGTCAGAGCCGACTGGGAGCGAGACCCTGTTCCATTTCTGGTTCCCTGCCCAAACCCCCTCTGTTCACCACTACAGAGCAGCAACTGTATATAAACAACAATATGTCGCTTCCAGAGGAGCACACATTTAACAAACCTTAATATGAAATGGGAGAGAGTCGGGAGAGAAGAGCAGATGAGCCGCAATGGAGCAGGGTGATCTTTTTTTTTTTTCAGTACCAAAAAAAACGGCAATCAAATGCTCCTTTCGTTGCCATAAGTAGTTCCATATTACACCTTAATGTATGCGCACAAACACTCACTCACACACTCAGACGCAATCACATGCACCTTCAATAGCGATAAGAGGACAGAACATGATTGTGATGTTTTCTACAATTGCTTCTCTGAGAATGTCCTTCATTTGTTTTCACGGTGGAGTTCACCGCATAAAAGAATTTTTAAAAAAAAACAATAAAAAAGAAAACATTAAGAAGTGAATCGCGCAAAAATATATATATAATATTTTCAAAAAAGAGGAAGTCAAATCAACCCCCCACCCCGTGAACCCCCTGATTTATCCTGTTAAAGGTTGTGATTCTTCCGTAGTCCGTCTTCTAAACCTGTTTTCATGAATATGTGAGAAATCTAGTTCATCCATGGTGTTAAAATGATAAAAGTCAAAGTTGCTTTTTTAGGAAGTAGAGCAAACAAAGTGATGAGTTTGTGAAAAAACGGTTATTTAACCGAGCAAATGTGCCAGACAAACTCCTGGAAGTTATATTTCGCAGCAGTCGACAGCGGTGCACTGGAGCTGACTGGCCGACAATGTACAAATATGCTATATGCATACTGATAAATGAAGTGAGATGACCACACATAGTAGTAGATGACAGCCAATAAAATAGCTGTTAACCCTTTCCAAACCACCCAATGACATGCGGGCCGGTTCAGTAACCCCTCCACCCCCCCAACCCAACATTTATGTACAATATCTTACAGGAAGACATAAAAACATTGCTTTAAAACCAATTACAGAATAAAATACCTTACAGATCATCATTATTATGTCAATATTAATAACAATATTACAAAGGTTTTGTTTTTAAAGACTACCAAAATATACATTTTAGTTGTTTTTTTTCATGTTTCCGTGAGTTAAAAAGAGGACTTTGTTGGATTTTGTTCTTCTATTCTTAAAAATGGTTTTCAGACAAAGATCCATCTCGGCTTCTTCTCTCTCGGGTTCACATCAGTAACAGCGTTGAAGGATTTCATGATGAAGCGACGTGTCACATTAAAATAAAACAATAATAAAAAAATCTAAATAGTCCTCTGCGAGCTGTCAAATGACAAACGTCTCCTCAGAGATTTTTTTTTTTTTTTTTTGTTGCAGTTTTGTTGTCTCAGCTTCAGAAAAAGATCATGGATAACAGAGGAAGAGGGGGGTCTAGTTATTACACTACATGAGGACAAAAGAGGAGAGATGGGGGACGTTATGTTGAAGTGAGATTAGTACAGCAAAACAGAGTTCAGGATTTTAAAAAGATATTCAGTCGGTGGGTGGAGCCACAGGGAGCCCGGAGAGCCGGGAGGAGCCTGTGGCCCCGGCCAATCAGGTTGTGCCATCAGAGGGCAGCCAGTATTTTTGATTGGCTCGTCAGCAGAAGAGAGGCCCTCCCATCTTCAGTGTCCTGAGTCGTCTCAGTGGTAGCCATTAGTAAACGCAGTAGCCATCAGGGGCCCCTGGGGATACATGAGGGGATATACTTTCTATTAGGCTTGAGAATAATACGTGCACCCATGCATGAGGTGAAGTGTGTGCGTCCTCGTTGTTGGGGCATATGACTTACCCCTAGACCATGACCAAACCCTGAGCTGGGGGCGGGGCTAGCTGCGCTGATGTAGCCGCCGACTCCTGAGTCCTGGTTGGCTGCAGCATACAAGTCAGCCATTGGTCCAGGGCTGCTGGTGCCCAGGAAACCAGCTGTGCGTGAAGGGGTGGAGCCTGAGAGGCAGAGGACACAAGTCAGGATCCAACACTAGAGGGCTTCTCACACACACACACTGAAGTCTAAAAATACTCTTTTATTTGTCCGAGCAGGACATTGTACACACATTCTACCTCAGGCGAGTGCATGCACAAGTACAAACATGATTCCTCTCACACACTCGTACCTCTAACCGCTGCTGCTGCTGCGGCTGCTGCCATTGGTCCATATGCAGTCAGGGGAATGGCTGAGGGTTACAAACAAAACACATTTATTTTGCATTGTCATTCTGGATCGCTCTCATATCAGAGCATGAGTCACCACGCTTAGTGACGGCTGATTCGACATCTGTGCAAACATCTGTCTTGTGATTTCAGTCCAGCTGGTGGAAGGGGCAACTTCTAAAACTAACTGCACACAACATCCAATCAAATCTGATATTAGACTTTTTTAAATAATAATGCTCATGATAAAAACAAGAAGGATTATAACTGAAGTACACCTCAGAGCCACTGGGCGGCAGTGTTAAGACTGTTTAATCTTCTTGTTTATGCACTGGATGGATCCACATACACCCTAAGGCTGAATTAGGTAGCCTGTAATTAGGGTGAAATAGGAGAACATAAGATTGTAAGTGGCAGTTTATACCTTTCCAAATTTGGTAAACTGCAACAAATTCAATTTAATACAATATAAAAAATGTATTTATAATTAGATTCTTTATGTAATTTATTTCAATGCCATAAATAACCTTTTTTGTATATAATTATTACACATTTAATATCAAATGTAACTTTACATTAGGTTTGTATTCAGTTTATTTATGTCTTTAATTCATTTTTGTTTACAATTTCACTTGAATTACATTTATTTGTTATCATGATCTTATTATTTAAATTACATTTTCACCCTTCCTTATCTTATCTTGCTCTCTGCAGCTTTTGGAAATATGATCTGGTTCATTGTTCTTGTAAACAACCGTACTATTCTCATCGAAGGCATCGTGAACAAGACACCTGAATACATAGTTTGAGGTGATATGCTTCTTGGCTAAAAAGCTTTTTCTCCCTCTGTCCCATGGAGGAATGAGGAGCCACTGACCTGCCAGCTCTTGGGGGTGGGATGATGTCATGAGGGGGGTCCTCTCTAGATGGAATTCTAGAAACGGAGAAGGTCAAGAGAGAGCGCTTTGTAAATACAGCCACCATCCACTGGCCAGACTACAAAGCCACACACAAGCACAGCAAGTTAAACATCGACTGTGAGGACAGGCAGGAAGGTGGGAGAGAGGAACAGGAGGGGCCACGGCCAAATGAAAGAGGTTACATAAGTAGATAAAACAACACAGAACAATATAAGGGAAGCAGCCAAATAATGGGCATTTGATGTATTAAAATATGTTATAGAATGTTGGGAAAGACGCATGAGAATTAAAAAAGACGTCTTTCATGCTACAGCCATCACACTTTTCAGAAGACGTAAAGAGAGTAAATTAAATGTTTGATGTATACAGACTTACCTGGGAATTGATAAGTGTAACCCGGAGCCATTCCAGCCATTCCAGCCATTCCAGCCATTCCAGCCATTCCAGAGTAACTGCGGCTGGTGTAGGTAGTAGTCTGGAAACCTGGGTAGCCTGTTGAAAAGAACATTAAATGATGGGTTTAGTTAACGTGGCAGAATAGAGACATGTGAAGACATAAGACAAATTATTAAATAGTTTTACCTAAAGAAAACGTGCCCACTAGGTATAACATTTGAATAATACACCTTTACAGTAATCATTTTGAGCGTGCAACCATACATTGACATGCTGCACTTCCTGTTAGTCTCCTTTCAGCTAATTACCTCCGCTCTAATGCAATGATTATTACATCATTATATTTTTTATTTGTTTGGAGAAACTACCACTAAGTCATATTTAAGGGTGCAAAACTTGACATTTAAAAAGTATGGGTTCTCTTTCTCGTTATTTTAATCGGCGATTGACTGCTATTAGTTTCGCACTGAACCTCTGGATGAACTCACCAACTAGGGGACATATGATTATTAACGCTTCTACATTAACAGACTTGTTTCCTCTATTTCTTAAAGGTCTTAGTCACCAAAGGGGAATTACAAAGGAACCAGACCAGTTAATGTCTGGGTTTCAATATGAGACTTAGGGAGCTACTGTTCAGTGTAGTAATGTTAAATGTCCAGTAGAGGGAGCCAAACCATCACCAACAGCACACTCAGTCTGTTTTTCTCAATGAGGATGTTTTCAAACCATATTTCACTCCAGTGTGTAGAGCTCTGACGCCCTTCAGACTGTGACCTCTACATTTCTACATCATAAATCATAGCTTTGTTCACGTGCGATGAGCATGTAAGAATCTGCTCTGAGATTAATATAGACCAAATTTAAAAAGGCAATTTTAGTGAACTGGAATTTAATCTTTATATTTGATTTTTGAAATCAAAAAATGATAACGTGTAAGGAGCCACAGAGGACATTCTGTGTGTGGCATGGTTTTCCTTTAGTATTGCAGCATACAGACAAAGAGGACTGAACTGGTTTACACTAAGATTTGCATTTAAAGGTGAAACTGGGGAATGGTGTTTTTAGCCGGCTGCTGACCATAAATAATGGGAAATTATTTAGACAAATTACCATCAAACCTTTGTCTGGTGACAAATGTTTGGTTAACGGGCTTTGTTTTTAACGAACAAAATAAAAAAAGGTTTTCATTTTCTGGCAATTAGTCTGAATAACCTTTATTTTAAACACATTACTTATCGTGACATTAGGTTAATATATGTTTTATAAAACCGCCCATACATGTCTTTCTGTTGTGTTAAGTTTGTGCAGCCACGTCTCCTTTAAAATGTTTTCCCATCTGTATTTTCTAGCAGATTACATTTGTTTGGACATATTCCAGATATGCTTCTAATCAAAGTCCAAGAACAGAGGTGAACGGGGTTCAATGGGTTCGTCAAACAAAAACAACACTGTCACCTAGGAAACCAGTGCTTGAGTCCTTTTTAAACCAAAAGTAAAGAGTGATTTATTTTTCATTTACATCTGTAAATGACGTAATAAAAAAAGTATTAAACACAACTACTTTTTAAGCCAAACCTAACCAAGTCGTTTTTTTTTTAAATTGTATTTTACAAAGCTAAACAACGCTTTACTTGATGCGTTATTGGCAGAGCAGTTTAGCTGTATATGAACATTATTTCTTAGGAGACAGGGTTGGTTTCTGCTCTAAACTACAACACCTACTGCTTATGAAGAAAACCTTTAGGGAGAACAGTGTGTTTGCCCTATGGTTTATATTTTTAGATCTTACCCAGCATGCCGATTCCCAGCATGAAGGCGTCCATCCCATAGGGCATCACTCTGGAGCGGCCTCTGGCTGAGCCTGTCGGCGTCATCACCTCCTTGGGCTGGGCTTTCTTACACTCCACCTAAATAACAGGAAACCAACATTTATTAATCATTTTAATCAAAAATACAGCTAAAGACACAACTACACTTCGCCAACTCTTAAACACAGGACACACCCTGGCAGAAAGCTAAAAGCAGCTCAAACAAATGAAATATATATTATTAATGATGTGCGTACCATTTTGTTGTTGATTTCATGGAAGTGGATCTCACACACTTTCTCCACCACGTCTTCATTCTCAAAGGTGACAAAGCCAAAGCCTGGAAGACACACAAACAGAAACATGACCTCTCTGATTGTTTATGTTCACGATGCCCTGCAGTTTGTGATAAAAACAACCCCATAATGTTTTGTAAAAGCACAGAATTTTCCCATTTAAATAAATCCTTACCAAGACTATATTTTAACTTTGACCAGATTTGTTATTCCAGAAATGTTTTCAAACCCTACAGTAGACACACTAAGACCGTCACAAGCAGTTTTTACCCCATAGAGCATAACGCTGTCAGACCAGGCGTGGCGTTCCCTGTCAATCAAGCTGTTGGCATCAGACAGGACTAGGCGTGGTTCACCAAAAAAACCAAGCCTAGATTTACTGTCCTCTCCATTATCACACCCAATTTCTCTTACTCCACCCCACGCGTTCCCTTCTCCCCCTTTCCTTATGTCTCATTAAGTCACATCCTCGCCTGTTATGCTCCTGACCCCGCACCGCGACCCCCAGCGGGAGCCGCACTTCTGACTCGCTGAGAGAAGACAGAGATAAATTGCGTTCTATCCATTTCATTTGAGAAAAGAAAACTGCATTTTCTTCACCCAGTGCCTCTATCACGCTGTTTCTCCTTTCCTTTCTAAGGGACATGTTTGTAGGTATCCTTACTTAGTGTGTCGGCACATATTAACATAGTGTGTGTGTATCATGACCTCACATACGTACCTCTGTGCCTGTTGGTTGTTTTGTCAAACATAAGCATGGCATCATCAACCTGCGAGAACAAAGCAAAGAATAGATGAGCTTCGACACACACACGCACGCACGCACACACACACACACACACACGCACACATACACAGCATGGGGTGCTATTGTCCCTCTTTAGCATTTGACTAAGAGGGGAAAACAGATGGAGATTGTGGAAGGCAGAGAGGGAGGGGTGACAGGTGACAAAGGAGGAAAGAAAAGGAAGAATGAGAAATGAGGGAGGGGGGGAAAACACTGTATAAAAATAAAATGAAATCCAATCTATCAAGGTGAAAAATAAGTGACTGTTCCCCGCTCGCTGAGGGAAATTCTTTCCCATTCTTTGCTGTCTTTCTCACAAACTCATGTCTCTTCCCCCCCCCCCACTTTCACACTCGCTGTCTTTCTTTCCCCTCTCCACAAAGTTTACTATTCCCATGGAGACCCTGTAAAGAATTTCAATTAGAAGAAACAGCCCCCCCCCTGCTCTCTTCCCAACTAATTTCAATGAAAAGAATGGAGGGAAAAGAGGAAAAGTGAGGGAGAGAGAGCATGTGACAGAAAAGGAGAAGCTGATAAATTATGGGGTGATAAAAAAAGAAGATAGAAGGTGAAGTTTTGAAGGAGAATAAATGAACATTTTGGATCAGAGACTGTAGAACAAAGTGAACCGAGGTCTTTGTCAACACGCTCGCCTTTCATTCTTCTTGTCCCTCCACTTTCCTTTTTGCACTCACTCCACTGCCCTATTCATATTCCTCCTCCTCCTCCTCCTCCCCCATTTCACTCTCCCTCCCTCACTTGTCCTTCACTGGCAGGAAAGTTAGCAGCTTCTGTTAAAGCTCTGACGTTGTGAGGTGAGAGAGAAGCCAAGGCCTGGGATCTCTGTGAACATGTTGTGTTTTTTATGTCATTTGAAAGTATTGTGACAACATTTACAAAAATCTGCAGCACAGATCTCCCTACTTTACACGGGGACATGTGGAGTATGACTACATGTCTATTTTCATTAGGCAGCATGCACTGAAACTCAAACCGGGGTAACATGAGTGGCAGAGGCCGTCCGATTTCTGACCTTTACTTCAGATGATAAACACATCCTAGTTGCGAGTGAAAGGTTTGTAGATATTCCTCACCAAATGATGACCAGGGAGGATCAAGGTTGCCTCGACACCCTCCTTGAACCTTTTAACTCTCATCCTAGTCAACATATAGCTCGGTCACACACACACACACACACCCAGAGCACCCCCCCCCTCTCTCTGTCCTTCATTCAGATTTTACCCTCCTCCTCCTCCTCCTCCTCCTCCTCTCATCTCATGCTTTCCACCCTTCCGGTCGTCCAAACTCAATGACACAGCAGAGGGTCGGGGAAACAGGACAGTAAGTAGACAGCTGCGAGCCAACATGTTATCATAAGAGTAGAGTTACACGCACAGCTAGCCCTCCTGTTAGCATTAGCAGCGTCTATTCTGGAAGGGATGTTTAGCGCAGCCAGTTCGAGGAGCTTTTGAGCGCCGAAGCCAGAGAGAAAAGACAATATGCCGTGCTAACGTTGTTCACCTCATTGTCCTTCATTTGAACACAATGGTGTGCAGGCTTGAGAAATATCCCGTCACGTGTGCGAGCTTATGCTTTGGTCGCACACCAGCCTCTGGCCCTTGCCAAAACCAATAAGAAGAAGACGATCTCCGATGTCCACTGCCCGGGGTGCTGTAAGACAATCTGATTGGATAGCTGTGGGGGTCTGAGATTGGCTTAGCAGCAGATCAGTCGCTAACTAGTCCGCATGCATGCAGAGTGAAGAAAAGTTAAGGTCATATTCTCATGAAGTTCTGGTGTACCTTTAAAAACATGGCTCAGCTGTGATCATGTGCAGATCTTTTCCTAGAGCCCCATTAAAAATATCCAGTTCTTAGTGAAGCGTGCAGCTATTGTCCGAAGCGTTTGCTGACAAGTCCATTACACTTTCTGCGAGATTATGAAAGGTGGCATTCACATTTTTCCCCCCTTCTGTCTCCTCACATCTCCCTCTTTCATTCTTTCCTCTCTCTCCGGCCATCTCTCTCTAAACAGGCCAGCAGACAAAGTGTTCAGTCAAGCCTCATAATCGCCAGCTCACATGGGTGAGTGGAGTCCCAACTTTTCCCGTCTGCCCTGTCCATGCTGCATTTTTCATCTTATCCGCTCCTTCATTTGCTTTCTGCTCTGGCCTATTCTCTCAGTCGATTTTAGAGAAGAGGGATTTTAATGGTAGTTTTCCATGCAAGGTACTTCCAGGAATGCAGTGCACGGCAGAAGGATAACAAGCGTGAAAACAGGGATTTCCTTTGGGTTTAACATCATTTACTGCAGGAACAGAATGCCTGACATGATAATTATCAAATGATCTCACTGTTTTGAATAGTTTAAACAAAGGCTCTCAAGCTAAAAATAGAGGAAGGTGTTCTTAACCCACACCAGACTTTATCCTACAAACATGGCTGTTGTAGTCCTATTGGCTTGAGGGATATTCAACAACAGGAGCTCAGATGCATCCAGTAAGTAACCGCACATTAATGCATGCCTTTAGGTTTCAGTCCAAAACACCTGATGTGTCAACATAGCAGCCATTACAGTACGGTGAAGTTTGTGTAGGTGCGTCTTCACAAGTACACTCCAAAATAAATAAACGACAGCAGATATCAAAGAGTTTCAGAAAATGCATAGTGCATTCTGTGTTTTCCTTTACAAGGCGGTGCCACAGTTTGAAAATAAACAGGACGACGAGTCTTACTCCATCCTAACCTGCCCCTTGTAACCAGGCTCAGATAATAAACAAGAAATACCTCCCGCTCAGCAGGAATGCACTGTGGGATTGGCGCTATCCATGATACAGCTTTGGTCTCACGTGTCCAAACAGTCCAAATATTCCCTCATCCTGCGGAGGGAGTGTTGTCTTAGATATGAGCGTCTGTGATCACCAGGGAGAGCTGTTTCGCCACAGAGCTGCCATTTTATAAAAACACAAACATGTCACAACATGCACCTTACAATGAGTTCTTAAAGTGTGAAGGTCACACGTGGGATCCAAGACAACCAGGACCCACATCACAGATTTATAAGTGAATTTGAACACCTCAAATATGGTTAACAAGAGTCAGAGGCCAACTGAGAGAAAACACAGCTACACACACGGCAGAAGGAGGTTGGTGCTATTCATTTCTTCCAATCCATTAGGCCTACATTCTGAAGCGATGTTTAATTTCGGACTATTTTTATGCTTACACCAACAACAGCACAGCCACACACTTAAGTGTTTGTGACAACTGGATCGCTGGCTGTGAGTCTTGCAGTCTGCACAAATGTATGCAAGCTTGCCTCCCATGGCAGCCATGCCACTGTCACACTTTCATGCACCCTTCTTTCCATTCATGCAAATGCACACTCCTTAGACATTTTGTTTTTTAAAGGAAACAAAAAAAAACACTGGATTACAGTGGGACAATGGGCGAAAGCAGGTCACCACGGCAACAAGCTGAGAGCAGGGTGTGTGTATGTGGGATGGGAGGGTGTCTGAGGTAGTGATTTGGGGTAAGGTGGGGGCAGTCGGGGGGTTTGTTACAGGAGCAGCTGTTGCATGTGATTAGTTGATACTGAAGAGTCTGGACTCAAACACGCCCCAGCCTCCCAAAGTGGAGCTGGCTAAAAAGTAACCCAACATGTCATGCATGATGGACACTTTGATACGTGTATGGCTCATCAGATGGGTGTTTTCCCCTTTCATAGCCACCTCACTATCTCAACATTCCTACTTTTCTCTGCCCTTCAACCCCTCAGAGCTCCCCTCCCTCTCTCTCTACAGGGGGTTGCTTCTTCCCTTTCAGACCCCCGCCATCTCCCTCTGCTCCTCCCCTCCTCTTGCTGCTTTTTTTTTCTTCCTGCCTCTCCCCGGCCACTCATCTGTCTCCACAGCATGTGTTTGCCTTTCACCAAATGTCATTCAAAGGAGCTGAACAGGACAAATGGAGAAGCCAAAAACACTGAAATGTGATTATAAAAGAGTAAAATAGCTAACAAGAGATAAACTAACAGACTAACTAATAATATAGCTGCACAGGACTTTCCTTTGTTTCAGTTGTTTCTTTCTTTCACTGTTCTCTTTTCCATTCAATGATTGCTGTTGTAAATTAGGTCGCTTTTGCAGTAGTGTCTCAACTAAAATGAAAAGCGGGCAAAGAATATAAAAACGGGCAAGTAAAGCTTTGGGGAAGCTGAGAGATGTGAAAGGTATAAGGATTACTGATTAATATAATATATCAAAGATGGACACAATGTTATAGCTGTGTTTCCCAACAAGGGTACCCCAGGGGCTACTTCTGCTGTTGCCAGGGGGTATGTGGAGAAATTGTGGAGTAGATTGTGAAGTAATTTGATAAAATTGAAATGTTGATGTCATATAATGGTTGAAATTGTGAACATAAGCTAATAGCAATGGATGAACGGTTTAAATAGTTAGTTAGTGGATTGAAATAGCTAATGAAAGAAATTGTAAACAGATAAGAGTGATTGTTAAACTGTTGAAATAGTTAACTTGTGGACAAATGATTGAAATAGCTTAATGGTAAATGGTTTAAACTGTGAATATTAGCTAATAGTATTGACTAAATGGCGGAAATAGTTAGCTACTGGACAAACTATTGAGATTTCTAAAAGGAAAATAGTTGAAATTGTGAGCTAAATACAGCTGCAGGTATAAACGCAATCTAACTAAATCCACCTGAAAAAACGGTTTAATTGTATAAAGAAAATATTGTAATATTCAGTATCATATCCACCATCATATCATTATTAGTTGATGTGAACAGATTTGTAACGTGATGTCGGGGGGGGGGTGTTTATGAGGGGATGGTTTAGTTCAGTGTGACACAAAAGGTAGGAGAGCACAGCACTAGAGATGTAAAAGGGAACGGCTACAAATAGATACCAGCTTTGTGTATAGTATACCTTTCCAAACTGGTCGAAGTAATGCTTCACATCTTCGATGGTGGTATTGACTGACAGTCCTCCGACAAAGATCTTCTTTGTCCTGGTCACCAGCTAGCAACACAGAAGAAGGCATCGTTTACCACTAATCACATTAGGCAGGGGGTGGATGTTGGTGATAAAGAGATGTTGTATTTGTTGGCGTTTATTTCATCTCAGGGGTTTCTGAAAGCTCTTCTGAGCATTCAACCTAATTCACTTCAGTTTAAGATCTTTTACATGTAGGGTTTGGAGGGGTGAGCGTGCATACAGGTAACCTCTGTGTGTAGGCATCCATATGTGTGTGTGCCAGGACAAACATTAGTGTTAGTGTGTGAGTGCGTGTGTGTGTGTTTAAGATGTCGGCTGCTGACGGTCGGGGGTTGGGTAGGGTTAGGGTATTGGGTCACGGTGTCAGGCTGGACAAGGGGATTGCAGCTCCTCTTTGGTAATTTGCCTAACTCTAATCCCAGCCAATCAGGGCTGAGTGATGAGCAGTGACATATGACATCATCACTACGACTCCTTACCATTAACTCCTTCAGGGTGCACTCACCTTAGGCTGAGCCCGGCGGGGAAACGCCACCTTGGGGTCGATCTGTAGAGGAGAGATAAGTTAGGATGAGATTTAAAGAGGAAACGATAAAACATGTCCGTCCTTTTCTGTAATGAGCCACACAATCCCAGGCATCCTGCTGTGGATTTAAATGAAGTTCTGATGTTTGATGAACTGTGACGATTGTGATAGGCCGGCGTATTAAGGGATTCTATTAGAAGTGAGATTTATTTGAAGTTAGCTTAACAATCCTAATGTTTGTAGACGCACTGCTCTTATAATATTCATGATAACTGCAAGATAAACACATTTTTATAAACAAACAAAAACAAACGTCTTTAAATACTCATTATCTGGCCTTATTGAAACCAATTGTAAGCATCAAAGTGGTAAGCCTTCCCTTTACCCCAAACTGGGATTTCATAACGGTACAAATGCAATGTTATCAAACCAAAGGAAGGGAATATTTAATATGTCAAATGATGGTGACATGTAGTGCATTTATTTTGGAAACAATGCCCATCACAGTTCCTCAATGTCAAAGGGGATGTCTTTGAATGTCTATGTTAAGTTAAATGATACAAAACCGAGAAATTATTTTTGCATGATTAATTACTTTAAAGGTAGAGTAGGTAAGAATGGAGAAACCAATTTGAGTGCTCTAGAATTTGAAAGTGCGCAGGCGAAAAAAATCTGCCCCTTCCTTCAGACTTCCTTACAGAGCCCCTCCTCCAACACACACGAACGCGCACATGACCAATGAGGGCACGAGATAAGTTTGTGCACAGATGGAAGGCTGACAGGCAGGTAGGCCATCCAGTTACTTTAGCCGGGCCGGCTCAGATGATTGGTCGTGCTTTTTACAGCGCTACGGCTTCCACAGATGAAATTGTTTTATGTATTTATTGTCAAAGAGTTTCATGTATTCATTGCTATCGGGATGTTAAGAGCATTCCATGGAATATAACAAAAAGTGTTTCTGAAGTGAATTACCTACCCCACCTTTAATGATTAATCGATTACCAAAATATTTCCCATTTTCTTCTGTCAACCAACAAATTGATTTGTAGGCCAATCGATGCAGCTCGGTTGCATGGCTAGGCACGAGTACATGTACATTATTTATTTCGTATGTTTTGTAACTAAGACCCCAAACAGAGTGTCTTTTCTTGAAAACATGTTTTTGAGCTGCTAATGGCTCAGGGTTTCCATAACCTCAAACAAATATTGCTGTTAAAAAAAGGTTCAACTGTAGAACAAATATTTTCCCTGTCTTTTCTGAGACTGCAAGGTATATTTCTTCTTACCCAGACAACCGCCATTAAATTGAATCCCCCAGCTTAAGTACCTTTAAGCAAAGACACCAAAACTCTACCTTTTCCGGATATGATGTTCAGTGGCTGATCCTGGGCATGTGTACACAGCATTTTGCTCTGGGCATCAATGAACTATCACACTGTTAACTAACTAGAATTACAACACAGAGTCTCTAAGTCTGAAGCTATCTGAAGGCCTGCATGTCCAGAAATAGAACGTATGCTAATCTGCCAGTATGTATAGTAGGCCCTTGTTTATGCAAGCCCCAAAAAATCCAAACACACCAGCCAAACAAACAGGCGTATGGAACAAAATACACAGTGAGGCGTGAATACGTACATTCTCTAAATTGTGCTTAGCGACACAACTAAAAGCATTTTTATCCACAAACTAGAAAGAGCAGGGCAGTCTAGCATCTAAAATGAGCATAACATATTCTGGATACATTTTATACGGATATATGTTTTTTTAAATCTCACAAATCCAGACAGCCTCCATTTTGGATTAGTAAGATTTGACTGTATCCATATTTCTCCCAAGTGGAATGTCTCAGCAGTGGTCAAGGTTAGAGATAAAATTAGAAGCAAATGAGTTTTGAATGTGCTGGCCTTTAATAATGCTAAATATGCAAAGCCTAGCCTGGCATTTTAAATTTGTGAGGAATCTCGTGTTATTCTCACTCAAGCTGACATGAGAGATGATTTTAGGTCACAGGACCTTGTAGTGTATTATGGTCTTAGAGTTCCATCTTTATTCTAATAATTGGATGTGAAGCAAAAGCCCTTGTGTCTCACACAGCCGCTATCAGAGGTATTGAATTGATATTGGCAACTAAAAGAGAGCCTATCAAATGGCCAGAAATATGCACTTATAATGTGAACAATACACGCAATAAAAGCGAGCGTGTTCATTCAATATTCTACCAATCCTTTCATCTCTTTGCTGTGATGAATGCCTGCTTTTGATGACAAGTCTACAGACTAAAATATCCTTCGAGGACCTTTAAGTACCACATATTTAACACTGCTTGGAGAGCTCGGCCGCTGTGTAACTAAGATGCAGCTGCAGCGTCCTTGGAAGGGATTGCAGAAGGTCTTTGCACCTTGAAGTGGGGCACAAAGACGAGAGGAGTCATGTCACCTCCAGCTGGTCTGAGCACAAAGACAAAGGTGACAAGGACACGCAAAGCCACTAGCGGCTATTGGCAACAGCAGTGCAACAACAGAGCGCACTCACAAACAATGACCACACTACAGCGTTTCTTACAGGATCTGCGCTTAGTGGCCCAATGTAAGATAATAGATGTGGCTTCATACTCTATGATTACCAGTGACCTTTGTACCACTCGCTTTTCATCAGAAAAATGACACAATTACTGTAGAGGGCTAGTATAGATCTAGCCATTTCTCTATACAACAACACAATAGAAGCAAGAAATGAAAAAGAAAGGAGAATCTGCAGTGACCTCTAAAAAATAACACAACAGCAGAATCACACTAATAATACACAAGGCAGCAATGTGACTATTCAGGATTAAATATTGTGCTGCAATATAATCAAAAACGCATATAAACTTTAGAAAAAAGCCCAGGTGTGGTTGGGAAAAAAACATTTAAACCAAACTAGAGGACAGGTGTTAGCCTGAGGCCATTGTGCTGCGCAGACACAGACCGTGAGCTGACAATGACAGCAGTCACAAACCAACTCTCACATTAGACTAGACTGCAGTCACGTACAATGAAAACTCTAAAATATCAACCTAAAATCTGTTTTCACAAGCGGATACATACAAACACAACAAGAATCCTAATCACTAAGTCTCACTAAATAGCATAATCACAGCATGTCGTGATGTTGAAATCAGTCCCCTTCCAATATGTCGTTGTAAGATGCAGTTGTTCTTTTTTGCTTGGAAACAGTATTTGTTTTTACTCTAAGGCTCAACTACCAGTATTGGACAAGGCTGGACAATAAATTACTTGTATAGCCAGTATCAGTAGAAAACTCACAGAATATAACTATGCTTCCTTCTTTTATTGGTGCCCTCGTGCTAGTTCAATTTTAATTTGTTAAACCAATGAATGTTGGAAACAATTTCCTTTCATTTCTTTCCCCCAACAAATAATTTAAAGTAATATCTTTATTTTGATCTTGTACGACTTTATCGAATATTTGTTCTCTTATTGTGCAGGCCCAATGTAGATATCATATCCCAAAATTAAACTTTATTAAAACGTATATTAAATAAAAATGTTTTGATAAAATTGCTGGATTTTTTCGGCTTATCCAGTGAATGAAACGTCATCACATCAATGCGATGTTATCAGGGCAATTAAAGGGAAAGATCCCGTTGTATAAACTGTGTAGAAAAATAGGTTAAAAAATGTATGTCTCATGGTATATTTTATCAAAAATGTGCACCCAAATATCACATGTTATCAAAACACCAATATGTCATAGCATTCAAATCATCAAGAGCTCTTAGTCTAAAGAAGGTTACCAACTATACTAGGTTAGGCCTAATGGAGTATCTGTAGTAGTGCTACTACTGCTACAGTCATGCCATGCTGTTAAAAATCATTCCACTTCAGCGACATAACAGAATATATCTAACATGTGATTTCTACATCCGGCTGTACTCGGAGAAAGGCTATAATAAATGAAAACTAAAGCATCTATCAGACTGGCGGATTAGCCTCGAGGAAGACGGATAGGCCACAAAGCAAAAGGTAAAAGGACTTAGCCAGGTCAGTTTGCAACACTCAGAAATAGCTCTTCGGAGGCTTGACATTTGAGAAGTCTTAATCAACACAGTGGGGAAAATGTATCCACTGGTGAATTAAAGTTGCTCTTTCCAGACTGACGAGGAAGAGTTATGACTGAGTGTTCGTGAAATGGTCTGACTAACATCCTGCTTAATGACATCCAACCTCCGCTCAATCTAAGCAGCACAGTGACGGCAGAGCCTACGATATGATTTTAGTGGTTTAGCTTTGAAGACTAATCTACGACCAATAGTCACCTCACGTGGCCCAGCGCGTCCAACAGTGTAACAAACTGAAAAAACAAAAATAGGACGTCAAATCGATAGATAGGGAAAGAGAGAAAGAGAGAGAGAGAGAGAGAGAGAGAGAGAGAGAGAGAGAGAGAGAGAGAGAGAGAGAGAGAGAGAGAGAGAGAGAGAGAGAGAGAGAGAGAGAGAGAAAAGGAGAAGGAGAGTTAAGATGAGAAAGCACAGGGAGAAAGGAAAGGCATTCATTTGGAGTCGGCCCATGAGAAAGTGGGCCTGTCCAGTGTAGCGGTGCAGCAGGGCCGTCCCAGCAGGCAGCCCCTCTGATTTCATTAATTAACAGGACAAAGAGTACAAAACAGATGGGCCCGTTGAGGAACTGGGGCTCCCGAGCTACCCTTTACAGGCACACATATACATACAATCACAGTCCCTCGCATAATGTAGCACAAACATAAATACAAACACATGTACATAGTGACACATACATGTAATTAAAAGGGCAAAAAATAAAGAACAAACCAACTCACAACAAGTGTATTGCCATCACAAAGTCACATATAGACATTTAAGGCCAACTCATTCTTGCAACAAAATGGCAAACACTGATGAAAAGGCACCACAGGCTGTCCCATTATGAAGATATAATCAATATAAGCTAAACAAAAAGCTATAAACAGAAAAGGAGACAAAAGGACTTTGGCATGTCAATGCATGCACGCAGAGAGAGCGAGAGACTCGGTTTGGGCTCAGGCCAGCGGGGTCAATCTGCACAGCTGAACAATGGCACAGTAATTAGTTAACGAAGCTCACTAATGAGGATCCCCCCCCCAAAAAAATTCAAACCAAACCCCAACCGTGTAATCTTACTAGGGCGCCTGGCCAGGACGGATGTATATCGTGACAATAGGGGGGGGTGGGGTTGCGGAGAGAACCCTGGATCCACCTTCAGAGCAGGACCAGGCTTTATCCCCTGATCTGACGCCACGCATGGACCTTCGGAAGTTCAATCCAGTTTGTTTCCCTCAATCGGATTAGTTGCTTTACAGATCTATACTAATTACAGCACGGGAAGCTGGGCCTGCCCCGTTCTCCTCTCCTCCACCTTCTCCATCCCCCATCTCCAGTTCTGTCCATGTCAGCACAAACAGCTAATCTCCAGTCAGGAGCGAGGAGCCGGTGCTAGCATCTAAACTCTCCACTAACCAGGTGATTTAGATTGTGGTGACAATGGTGGACAAAGCCTTACATGATGTTGTTACAGTGCAGAGCTAAAGCAGCTAAATTAGCACCATGCTGATGACCACCACTGTACCTTCACAGGCGACGGTGCGAAAAGCAGCAATTACCACCTACTGTAACACATTTGGAAAGAGGGCAGTCCTGTTTACTTGGTGTAAAAGGGAAAGAAAAAAATCTTCTGCATGTTTCCTATTTTTCCTTCTTATAAAAGGTGTTTTCATTTTATTGGCGTTACACTTGGGTGAGGAGATATTTTTAAGTACTAATAACAATTAGCATGTCATCCCACACAACTAGCAAAACAATCTCAGGTATTTCTTACTTCACTGTAAACATGGCTAAAGAAATACAATTACAATCATAAGATTTAAACTACACAATAATACAATCATGTTTTTGCCGGACAAATTCACATAAACAACCCTCTGTCTCATCTGCAAACTCTAACGCTGTAACTAGTCTATACAATTTATAACTCGCTAAAATCTGATATCACCTTTTTCTGAAAGAATGAGAAGACGTGGCATTACGGCTCTCCTCTTTTCTTCCCGGTCAATTATTTCCTCGGAGAAAACAAATACCAGTTGTGCCCTTCTTCTCTGTCCAGAGAAAAACGACAGCACACTACCGCCCTTAGGCTACACTCTACCCCGACAGGAAATCTAACCTCCTACCAAAACAAAAACCTCCCTCTAATAACAATAGACAACCTCTTTCATTTGCTGCTTTTGAATTCTTCTTAGGCCCACAGGTATTGACTTATATTCAATCAGTGTTCAGTTTGTTGCTAATGTGGATACAACAATGCTTCAAGTAAAAGGCCTGTAAATGTTTAATACCACTTGTATGAACCCTGTACCAGTTCATCTAGTTTACTTCTCACCTGGCGTGTACCCTGTTGCTCTGTTACATCCTTTGAATTCACCTTTCCCTTCTTCCTTCTTCAGGCCTTGTTGCTGACAAACCAAAGGCTCAGCATAAAATAAAATAAAATAAATCAGAGCATCGCCTATTCTTCCTCATTCCAGGGAGGAATGTCTTTCTCAAATCTCCTGCTGATCAAACAATAGTTAGCCTCCTCTGACTGTGCAGAGAGAGAGGGGGGGGGGCAAGAGTCCAGGTGTGAGGGAGACACAAAGTACATAGAAATAAAATAATTAAATTGGGACAGGTGTTGGAGATGTTACAGAGAGTTTGACGCTGATCCCGTAAAGCTGCGTGTTATTCAAAATATTCAGTCCAGCAAGACAGAAAATGGCTCACACTTTACTCTACTAATAACATTTACTCTTGAAAGGCGTTTAAAAAAAAAGTATTCATCTGATCTGTTGCGGAATTATCTGCAAGACTTCTAGTCATTTTGCAACAGTAAAATAGAATCAATGAAGTAGTCGAAGCTATTATTGGTATAGCACTTTCAAATATGAGAAGTTTGCAAATAAACTCACGTAAAAATCTAAGGTCTTATTCCTAAAATGGAACAACAAAATGGCAACCCTGTTTATAAACCGCCTGGTAGGATAGTGGGAACATGGTGTGCTCCCCCCCCCCTCCCCAGACTGCTGCCACAACAACCTGAGCAACCAAAGCTGCATTCGAGTGGTTACCATTATTACTGTTTAGCCTTACGTTGTGTTTTGGTTTATAATAGGGCAACGCCTAACCCCACCAGAGGCCTGCCAACCAGTGTTCCCATCACACACACTCTGGCTCTCTAAGACTACGTTGTTTCATAGGTAATATGACTCAATGAATAACACTTTGCAGGAGCTCAAAACTGGCTTCCAAGCTGACAGATTACCAGCAGCAACGCTCATAAACCTCACAGCCACTGTGCAGAAAGATCCAACTTAACAATTAAAATGAAACATTAGAAACTACCACAAAGATTATAATATAAGTATAAAGGTCTATCATGACATAACATTATCCGTGTGTGTGTGTGTGTTAGAGCTCTGCTAACCAACCGAGTGTCTTAAGTTAATGCAAAATAGCTGAGAAGTTGTTATGGAGACATAATTCCCATCAGGCTGTGCACTTAAAGCACTGTCTCCTGTGACTGGCGTCACCCCCGGCAACAGGCTTGCTCCAACAACTAACCAACTCTACCTTTTCCTCCACCCCTGGGCTCCGCCTGCCTCTCTGAGCCACCAATTTTCACTCTCAAATGATCCTATTGTGTGTCTGTGTGGTTACGAGAGGCCACAACCTGACTGAAGACACACCCAGAGCCATTCCTACAACTCATCTACATGACCAAGACAGCCACATTCACACCTTCCACGGATATTTAAATCTGAGTCAGCAGCTTTGAGTCAAACGCGCAGATTCACACACATCTAACCTGTCACTGGTTAAATTATGTAGCTAAAAACAAGCACAGTGTGTGCTCTGACCTCTGTGTGGGAGCCGATTTGTCCCGTTTACCCACATTTTAAATCACTAGTGTAGGAGGGTAAATCACAGATCAGAGTAGTTGTTCAAACAAACAGAGCGTCCATTTCAATATTTGAATTTATTTGGACCTCACAGACAACTCCTGCACACACACAACTATTTTATGTCCACTAACTTTCCCCCCCCCCCCCCGAGATTTACCACTAAAAAAACTAGTGCTGATACTTTTCTATGAGGAAAAAAAAGTAGAAAAAAACTCTGCATAAACCCTGTGAGGGTTTAGCAGGGGCTCCTACCCCATTCAGGTCCCCAGGTAACCATGGCAATGAAGACCAAGAAAGAACGCTTTCATGTTGGCGCCCTGAACCAGGATTTGGAGGGGGAAATGAGCAGGGAGAGGAGGGGGGGGGTGCTCCAAAACGCACTCCTCACTCAACTTTACAAGCCATACGGTGGGAGGCAAAATGCACCGGGGAAGAAAAAAAACATGCTACACAGAAATTGGAAAAACCCAACATCCAGCTCTTCAAAAGGTAGAAACTTACCGTTTTGGAATCCAACTCGTGTCTGTTTTGCGCCAAAACCTTCTCCACTCCGTCTTGATCTGCGTATGTTACAAACCCAAAGCCCCTGCGAAAAAGAAAAATAAGAGAAATTCAGAATCAGAAATGCAAAGTTTGGGCATAAACAGCCCCATGAAAGAGCATGAGGCATCCAGTGATAGGACGGCGGAGCGCACACGCCTCCTTCTTACCTCGACCGCTTGGTAACGGGATCCCGCATCACCATACACTCCTTCACCTCGCCGAATTTACAGAAGTACTCCTTCAAGCCCTCTGCGAACACAGCAAAAGGGAGACACGGTTAAATAAATCCGTAAATCTGACTTTTTCCCCCTACAGGCCCTGGTGAGGTGATGTGGCTGGAGAGAGACAATGGGGGACGGGCCGGACCACGTTGTGTTTGTGTCCCTCTCCAGAGGCTGTACACTGGCCATTCAGCATAATAGCCCATTAAGGGGCTGCGGACCACAAACAAAGCTACTCGGTTGACGATCCATGTTTTGAAAAGGCGTCCAGCGAGAACACCGAACAAGAATAAAGTGTGTTCGTGCATCTGTCTCACACTCTTACAATAAATGAATGGATTCAGCGGAGTGCAAAAACAACACGCAGACGTGGTCATCCATATGAGCCGAACTTGAGCTTTAACGCTGAATAATCGATCACCTTTACTACAAATGCCCTTCTGTTATTAGCAGTGTATTGAGCGCACAGGGAAAGGCAGACAGAGTGTGTGCATGCATTTCCAGTGTTAATCTCCCTGCATCTCGGCAAATCTAAACCCTGAGAGCTGATCCTTATTGAATAGGAGGCTTTGATTTAACTATTTACGGTGTTTATTATTAACTTTGGGAAGGTAATATGCATGCTGTATGTGTAGAGGAGGAGTTAACAGTAGGCTTTCATTCAGACTTATTAAAGTAGCGTGCGGGACAGCTCACCTTGTGTCGTCTGCCAACTCAGACCCCCGATGAACATTTTGCTGAATGAGAGAAACACAAGCTGTAAGTCACACAGAATAGCGCGCCGTCTTTCCAGCACATGCACATCCACATTCAATAAGGGGGGGGGGGGTAAAAGCTGGGGAGAATTATGTGTAATATAGCATCAATAAAGTAAGAAGAAAGCATCGGCCATGTTGCGAAGTCCCCAATCGGCCAGTCAGGGCCGTTATAATCCCCTAGAGAAGGGGGGAAAAGGAGAGGATTTTCCAGAGGATGGAGGAGAAGTTGCAATTGGGCCTGGTGGAGGAAAAGCAAGATAAATAAACAAACAAGAGGGGGTGGGGGGGGAAACAGACGGAAAGCAGCAGTGCGTCTGTGTCTCCTTAGCTGAGTGGATCCATCCCACACACACATACACACACACACACACACACACACACACACACACACACACACACACACACACACACACACACACACACACACACACACAGCGTGCTTGTCTTTTGTCTCGGCGCGGCTACGCTCCCGCACTGAACTCAACTAAAGTCCAAGGTGAACTCGAATCGGGCCGAGAGGCGAGCGAAATACATGCGGGCGGTGTGAGGCTTTTACCAGGGGTCGTGGGGGGAGTTGTCCGCGCCGGAGGACAGGCTGCTCTGGCTCCCTTCCGTATCCATTCCGCTCTCCGCTGATATATTCCCGCACTGTGAGGCTAGGAGAGGCAGTGAAGCTCCACTGCTGCTGCTGCTGCTGCTCCAGACTCAGGGGCGGGCAGCGGAGAGGGGAGGTGGGGGTGGGGTGGCTCAGAAAGAGGAGGGGTGAGCGAGGAAAGCGCAGACACACACACACAAACACATACGCAGGCATACACGCTCAGAGATAAGCTCCGCCTCTACCTCGTTTCCCCGTAGCCTACCCCTGCCTCGGACCTCCCTCCCCTCCCTCCTGCACGTTGCCTGCCGTTATTCATGCTGCCAGTGGCGCTTCTCTGTAGTGTTTCCCCGCCGTTCTTGTCATTGGTCGATCACAACAGTATGGCCCGTTAAAGCGTTTTGAATGTTAGAAGAATCTGCAGCAGCTTGCCTCTATTTCAATTCGCAACATTATACAGAATGCACGAAAAAATATCTTTAAAAAAACATTTTCAGAACACCAAAATAGAAATATATGGGTCCAGCATTATGCATCCATGCCAGATAGCTTTTTAATTATTGACTCGTTTTGTTATTCATTCATAGCTCCACATTAACAGATTTCCAGCATTAGTTTCGGTATTGCTGAAGGAACTCGATGTCTTCCTGTGGGGTAAGGTTAGGTCTCAGGTTAAATGAAGGATCTGTAACCAGGATACTCTCTCCCAACCCATTTAGCCACACACTGGGTTATATAAAACAGGATGTGGATATGAAATCATTATTGTAGCTTATAGGACAACAGGATCATGTTTTTTGAATTGGGGTTTTTATTTGTATGTTATGTTCTCGTATTGTATGTGACGATAAATTAGATGAGTGATGCAATCCTTTCTGATGTGATGTTATATAATGTATTCAGAAGTAATGACATGTGATTTGACCATACATAATGTCATGCTATGTGATGATATATGATGTCAAGCGATGTAATATTAAATGACGACATGAGATGTAATCATATATGATCTCATACATAATTTGATGTGATATTATCATATCATCATTTCATGTAATGTGATTATATATGGCGTCATTTCATGTGATAGGACTTATATGATGTGATGTGATCATATATATATATATATATATATATATATATGTCACATGATCTTATATGATATTGTCATGTTATTTAATGTGTTGATATGATTTCATCTGGTGTTGTCGTGGCATGTGATGTAAACATGCTTGTGATGTGGATAAATATGATGTCATGTGGTCATATCTACTTTATATAACGTAATGTAACATAATCTGATGTGTAAGATGTTATGTCCTAGTATGTGACAGTGTGTGTATTTTACTACTTAGTCCAACTCTCACCTCAACCATTACTCTGGTCCAGCGGTGACCCACCACATGTAGGCTATTAATCCCTTTGTAGTTGTATTATTGTCCCCTCCTGGGCTCATTTTCATCATCATCAACATTACCCTATATCCAAAAATGTATTTCAAAACCCAACGTCACCTCTCGTTGTGACTTCCTCTCCATCCATCAAGTATCCTTGTCTTGGCCCACCCTCACAAACCCCTCAGCCCACCTGTTCCTGCGGCCCAGCTCTCATCCTTTCCATCACATCCAAAACTGCTGTGACCACCACTCTACATCCTTCACACAGTTCTTACCCAATCACATCTAAACCTGATCTTCCCTCTCTCTTTCACCCCACGTGACAGGTTGTCCTAACCAGCTAAGTGCTAGATTAGCAGCATTACCTCTAAGTCAGTCTCTCTCTCTCGACCAGGGCAAGCCTGGTCAGCTGAGCGTTTTTGTCACATGCCTCAGCTGCTCGAACAAAAGTGAAACAAGTATGAACATAGTTATATAAAATGCACTTGTTTAACTCATCCAATTATGACCTTCACACACCTACTCTTTTAGATCATTTAAGTTGTTGTTTTTTCAGGCAAAGTGTATCATGCTAAGACATCTCATTTGGATACAGTTACATGATTACAGAAGCACATAGTGTCCTTTAAAAGTGTTCGTGAAACAAGATAGAAGTGATCAAGAGACAACACCTCAAACAATTTCCTGCACCTGATAAAACGATTTTGATAATGAGGAGTTAACTTTCCCAGCACCACCATGATGATCTGTGCATGTGCTGGTTCTGAGACAGGCAGTGTGTGTGTGTGTGTGTGTGTGTGTGTGTGTGTGTGTGTGTGTGTGTGTGTGTGTGTGTGTGTGTGTGTGTGTGTGTGTGTGTGTGTGTGTGTGTGTGTGTGTGCGCGTGTGTGTGTGTGTGTGTGAATGGCAGTGGGGGAAGTCAGTGAGGGGAGGCAGATCAGGGGGAGGGTGTGACTCTGGCCTGCTGGACCATAGCAAGAGAACAGTATGTAGGACAAGGCCCTGCACTAGCTAACCTATCCTGGCGAGAGCCGTGGTTGGGCGTGCTTAATTTCTGCATGCATGATCAATGGCACTGAATAAAAAAGAGAGGAGAAAGACAGCGGCATGGGGGAGGGGATGCACAAGTTAGAGCACTTTGATAAGGTAGAATAAGGCAAAAACACTTGTTATGATACTCAAAAAAGTATATTTAGTATGTGTATTCTTTAGCTTTTGAGCAAATTTGGCTAACTTTTTACAGGAGCTTAACGTTTTTCAGATTTTATATCTGGTAAAGCATGCCTAAAAGCAACTTTTATACATTGTGGGTAGGTGATGTGTGAGAGAGGTTTTTAGTACGCTGCTACACTCACACAGCCTTTTCTCTATCCCATCTCCCTCTCTCTGTCTTGTTGTCACTCTGTCACCTTAAAACACTGTGATAGTTTGTCCAACCCAAGTCTTCACTGCTTTTGTTTCCTTGACCACTGCTGACCCAGAGTGGGAATCCATTGTCTGTGAGCGACCTCTGACCTGCCAGGGCCTGGGACCTGCTCTCCACCACCCTTGAGGCACAGTGAAAGAGAGTTGAGAGGGGGATCAGGAGAGAAAAGGGTTCAAATAGCGACTTCTGACCATCTGAAAAGCTGGAAGCTGAGCTGTATGTTTGGGCAGCAGCAGTCTTTAGAGCCAGGAGCCAACATTTGCATGTGATGCAAAATATAAACAGGCAACAAGTAGTTCCAGGAAGACCTCATAGAACTAAACGCAGGCAATGGATAATGAAAAGGGATACGAATGGAATGTTTGTCGATGGATAAAGACATACAGAACAGGCACAAAAAGTATTTAAAAGCGGAAGCCAAGAGGCCATTTTAAAGTACCCCGTTTGCTGTGGGTGTTTTTTCCACCTGGCAGGTGGCAAGCCAAAGAAATCATTACATGAGAGAGGAGGAAACAAGCACACCTGTGGTTGCGGCAGGAGCTCCACCTCCGCTCTCCGATCACAATCCCTCCATCCCCCAGGGGAAGGTGTGGCAAAGGGAGAGAGACAAAGGGAGGAGAGAAAGGGAGAGGAAGGAAGAGATTGTGGGGGAGATTTACAGGCCTCATCAACAGTTGACAGAAGGTTGAGTTAACTTTTTATTAATCGTGCACACACACAACAAGCTGGACTGACGGTGCTGGAAGGATCCGAGAGGCTTTGTGCTTCTTGCGAGCACATGCAGACCACAACCTATTTACCCTGATGACACAAGACTATTTCTGTCTGTCGGCTGTATGAGTGCAAGCAGCAGCGGAGATCTACGCTGTAATACCACACAGACTGTTGGGCGGATAAACACAGGGAAATGCACACATACACAAAGGTTTCTGGTTACAAATCCGGAGAGACCTAACACTTAAAGACAGATTGCCAATACTGCACTTGCCACCATGGAGATTGGTAGGGGAGTCACAGTTTGTTATTGCACTGTCTATTCATCACTGCTGTACTGAGTGCATTATTAACCCCCCCGATAACTAATTATCTGTTATCTTCCGTCACAGCTACAGAGCTTTGCTTGCCGTGACATTACATTACAGCATCCCTTCAATCCATAATGAGATGTTCATTCAAAGTTGTCACATACTGGCTCTTGAACTCTCTTGATTGATGAGAGTTCGTAAAGATAGTAGTGATGATGAATTTATTTTTGGTACTTCTAAAATTACATTTTAGAATTACCTGTACCATGCTCTTGTGTACAACTTCCTGTCTGCCCTGACCTCTTTCACATTTCCGATGATGTCACTATAAGCAGTTGCTGGAAATTACATCATGACACAAACAGATGGAGTCACAACCATCTTTGAGACTGTCGTCTTGCCGACCTGAACGAGAGGCCTGTGCCGTGACTCATCATCTCTTTATCGGAAGATGTGCTACGGGTAATGTAGTGTTAACACATGATGGATTTCACGCCAGGGCCTTGGAGCAGGACGGAAGAAAGGGAGAGTGAGAAAGAGGAAAGAGAGAGGATGAAGAAGTGAGTAAAAGAGAGAGGGGATTACTGTTTTTTTAAGGGGGGGGGGGTTAAGAGAAGGTTTCGGTTGTAGCAAGAAATCCATACCACCTCTCTCCAAAGTTACCCCCCACACACACACACACACACACACACACACACACACACACACACACACACACACACACACACACACGACCAAGACCAAGTGGAGTTGCAGTGCGTCCCTGTATCTCTAATCCTTTTTCCACTCCCCCCTCCATTTCTTTTTTTACAGGACCTATCAACGCCATTCCTTGCTACTATTTATAGGAGACCCCTGTCCCCCTGCCTGAGTGTAGATCTGTGTGTGTATGTGCCCTTGTGTGTTTCAGGGTACCCACAATAAACCAGTGCTTCTCACTCCTAATCTCACTGAGGTGGGATTCACTGAACAGGATATATTGTAAAGCCAGTTACAAAGATAGGTGTGTGTGTTTTGGAGAAGGGGGGGCGGGAGGTGGTTTGCATGAGGCTGATTTATCCCACCTGTCTAGTTGTTTCCGGTACGTACGTGTCCTTCCATGACTGACTACTGAAATGCACGAAGGCCTGGGAACACGCAAATCATCCCTGGAAAGTTGGAAAGTGTGTGTATTTATTGCCAGGTATGTGTCAGTGCTTGTGCTTGTGCTAATTGCAAATACTTTTTGTGGGATACCGACACGTGGCTCGGTACAGTCCAGCTGCTTCACGTGCGTGCTGCAGTGTGCAGGCCCTCCAGCCTGATGGAAGGCTGTGGTTATTGATTTATGAGCTCACAGTTAAAATGTGCCCTGCTTTGTGGTGTAATCAGCAACTGACACATTATATTTTGACACCATCCTTTTTTATGCATTTTAAAGTTGTAGGTCATTGTATGGGGAAACGTGGGGGTTGAGTAAAGTTATGAATGACTTTCTTTAAACATTGACAGACTGAATGAAGCTTTCAATGGTACGTTATGAGAGTTTTAAAGCGTATCTATGTTGCTAAATAGAGGCTATAGTTTGACGTTGGAAAGCAGGAAATATCTTCTTTAACTTTCTGATGATAAAGGTGCTGTTGTCACCACTAAAACTGAACAAAGCTATATTTTTACATAAACAATGGATCAATAAGACTTGTGTGGAAGGGGTCTTATAATAACACACACACTGGTAATCTTTAGCCAACTCTGCAGTTCCCTTTATCTCTACTGAACATTTTACGGATTTTTAACCCACTGCGCACAATTTTAAGTTAGCAACAATCTAGTGAACACAGAGGAGCATTTAGAGGCTAAAGGGCCAGATATACTTTCTCAGGAGTGGGTGGAGACCAAAACAGAGTTTAAATATTGGAACTACACCTGTTTGGGGATCACAAACATGACTCCAAATGAATGTTGATACGTATTTGTTACCTGAATGTGTTTGCTAACATGCTAACATTTTGGCTGAGACATCACAAGCAAAAATATGTGAATGTAGTGTTTAAAGTAAAATTCTATTGCATCAGAGCATCTAGTACTACATCTCTTATTATAGTTGTAAAGAAACAAACGTTATTTAATCAACACTTCCTGTTTGCATGGCCTCACCACCACAGCTGCAAAAGCATAGATAATATAGATGAGAGTAGACTTTACAAGGCAATAAGCAGTATTATAATTGTCCATGTCATCATCTCACAGGCTCAATCGGATGTTTTGAATAGATGGCAATCATCATTTATGAAGTAAGTACACAATATAACAAAGACATGTTTTATTTATTGTGCAATTGTGAAGAGGAAGGTGACAACTAACATTATATTTACTTTAGGCAACTGCCAGCGACAAAAGGGGAGTTAAATCAAAATGATGTAGGTAGAGAAAGATGAAGGAAAGCGGCATGCAAAGAAAAACAGAATGAAGAGGGTTAACACGAATAACAAGCAGAAGGTGAATGTGTCCTTATGTATTTATGTGTGTGTGTGTGTGTGTGTGTGTGTGTGTGTGTGTGTGTGTGTGTGTGTGTGTGTGTGTGTGTGTGTGTGTGTGTGAGTGCAGCTGTGCAGTGACAGAGTGAAGGGAGGAGAGAGCAGAGGGGGTCCATTGTGGTGCTTTGTGTGGCTCAGATTGTCCTCTTCTCTGGGAAAGTGGAAACTCAACACTCCTCTCCAGAGGTCTGGTTACCAGGTGAGAGAGGAGGAAAGAAAAGGGAAAAACAGAGCGCCAGAGCGAGGGAGGGAGAGCTGGAAAGGTGTGGAGAGAGAAATCGAAAAGGAGAGGCGAGGGAGAAAAGAGCATGAGACTTTTGGGCATGAGAGCTGGAAACTGAGAGAGATCAAGAGATGAACACAAAGATAGGAAGAAACAGCCTGCGAAAGAATAAACAGAGAGAGGCTCAGATGTTGGTTTAAACAAATACGTATAACAATCCTGAGCAAATTTCCAAATGTAGTGCATGCTTTGCTAGCTCCAATGTGACCTGTAGATAAAGTGAGACTTTGAATTAAAACGATATAATCAGTGTTATGTCTTCTTTAACAGTGAAAGCCCATGAAGATAAAGGATCAGATCATGTCCACGTTTTAATCCAAATACCAGGTTCAAATGTAAACTTGTCATGTCACGATGATAAACAACACTGTTGTGATCTGTTCTACAATCAAATATTAAACTAAACTGAAACCAGTGGCGCTCATTTATAGTTAGAACTCCTCCTTGTGGCCACTTTTGGAACTTCTAAAAACATCCAAAATCAGTTCAGCTTCTTTCCACTCGTTTCATCTCCAGAAATAAAACAAAAGTCACACATCTTGTATCAGAAAATGTACATTTATTTTCTTTGATCACTTTTTACAAACTATATATATATATATATATTATTATTTTTACAAACACCACCTTTAACCCTGAACACCAAAAAGTTTACAAAGTACAAAGAGGAAGTACAATATCTAGTAAAAAGACCACTCCATTTCCAGACATAATCCATATTAATTTGATGTTCTAAGACGTGCGTGATGAGGGAATAATTAAAAAAATACAGCTAATAATCTTAGATGGATGGAAAAATAATATCTGATGTCACCAAACCTTTTTTATATTACTTTACATTTTATTTTGTTGTCCACAGTATATCTGGTATTCCATTCTTTACAATCGTTTTCCCTTTTTTGTTTATATCATGGCATGCATTATGATATGATAACTTTCTACCTTAAATGTCTTTTTTGACTGCTGTTCATCATGTGAGGTTATAATATTTTGTTTGGTTGCAGTCAAAATTACAGTTGCATTGCAGTTCACTGTTACCTGATTTATTTTCATGTTGGTCAACTAGAGAAAACTGTAAAACATACAACAAAAATAGCAATGTGTGTGTGTGTGTGTGTGTGTGTGTGTGTGTGTGTGTGTGTGTGTGTGTGTGTGTGTGTGTGTGTGTGTGTGTGTGTGTGTGTGTGTGTGTGTGTGTGTGTGTGTGTTTGTGAAAGCAAGAGAATAGAGGGAGACGGGGGGCATGGCAGGAGTGACCATGTGTGTTTGACAGTGTTTTTGTGGATGCTTTCACTCTTTCTCCCCCGATATTGTCTGGAGTGGATTGTGGAGGCGGCAGCTCTGAGAACAGCTGCTTCTGACAAACACTATGTGTGTCACTTGGGGATTGAGTGTATGCGTGTGTATGTGTGTGATGAGGGGGTGGTAGGACACTTTCAAAAAGAGGAGACTAAACCATCTTTCTAATAACCCTGCAGTCGGTTTCAGATGTCACATGGCCACTAGAGAGATTAGTCCTCTTTTGGTTGAAACATAATCAAAAACAGATAAATTAACCCGTACTGAACTTTTTTTTAACAGAGGCTTCCTGTTTATATGTCGGAGCAGAGACTGATATTGACTTTCTGCAGTATCAAACACACCCCCTGAAAATGATCGCAGTGAATGGTAATTCATTCTTACAATTCAACCGTGTCTGTGGAACTTGTGCATGTATGAGCCGATGAACTGTGTATTCAGCTGTGTGCATGCATGTGGTATACAATATGTTAATGTGTGAGTGTGTGCATGCACGTGTGTGTGTGTGTGTGTGTGTGTGTGTGTGTGTGTGTGTGTGTGTGTGTGTGTGTGTGTGTGTGTGTGTGTGTGTGTGTGTGTGTGTGTGTGTGTGTGTGTGTGTTGTTGCATGATAGCAGGCAGGTATCACTGTCCTCCGTTATAAGCATAGTCTGCCTTGTTGTGCATGACCAGTCTGTTCTCCACGAAATAGAAGCTGTCTGACCGGGTCTCATAAGGACACTCCACCATCTGACGGACTGAAAGAAAGTTAGTGTTAACTTTTTATGTTAAAGCATTTAAGACATTTTCAGAAGTATTTATTATTTCTGTCTTAAAGAAATGAACCGCACCCAGAAATGACCATTTGTATATCAATCGCTCAGCCTGTGTTACCTTGAAGTCTGGAAGAAATGTGTTTTTCCTGCAAGGTGAAATTAGAATCCAATAACAGAAAATGGGTCAATGTTAAACATCAACAAAACTATACAAAACATCTGCTTACAAAGTTTTACACGAATAGTACAGTAAAATCCAAGTTTCATTATCCAGTCCCATGTTCACTACTTCCCAAACATATGCATTTTATTAAAACTATTTAAAACACTATGGACGTCGCTCAAGTATGATACTGTTTGTGCAGAAGTGTAATAAATAGTAAGGTTTTAGCGAAAATGCATATGTTTTGATGACAGTGAGCATACAACAGAATTGATTAGAATTAGATTATCCTGTACACGTTTTGTGAGTGGTTGTAAACAAATGTGTTGTTGTTGTTAGACGCAGCCACCTTTTATTTCAATTCATCAATCATTTTCTCCTAGGATTCTTCTTCTAGAAAAAAAGATGTCCTTCAAGGTAAAACAGGCCAGGGGGAGTAATTGATAAACAAATGATCATTTTGTGGGTCGATGGTAAACTTCATATATTACTAGCATGCATCATGTACGTTAAATTAGTCTTTGGTCACTGTTTCATTCCTCCTCTGTGCTGCCCATGAAACACTCTTCTCCCAAAGCAACCACAGACAAAAATAACATGGAGGACAAAATCCACAGTCCTCGTTCTAATATGATCATCTAGTATGAGGCTTTGGCAGTCTGAGTTAGCAAAACAAAGTGGGTATCTTCCAGGTTTAAAAAATAATAAGACAACATTCCCTCTTTGTGCTTCCTGGACAGCGTTACCTTGCTGAACTGCAGCAGAGGGATACTTCCTGGTGGTTGTCGGTTTGATGCTAGGACTCAACAATGGAAATAAATAACCTTAGGTAAAGTACAGCGAAGACCATAGCCAGTTTAAGAGGGCATCTCAGACTGCTGAAGCCTCATCTTAAGTTCAACTAAACTTTAGTAAGCATTTTTACAGAACTGTGGATTTCACTCCCTATGTTATACCATGTTGTTGCAGTAGGGATATCACAGGAACTATTGCAGAGACCTCCAACTCTTTTGACATACATATGTTTGTAGATATTGAGCGCTTTTTCTCCTCAATATGCACATTTATGAAGCAGGATATTCAAAAATGTCTATTCAGAGTAATCTCCTCTAGTCTTTGCATACAGACAGACACCCTGACTCCAATGTTACTCCATCGTAAATGTCCCATATACCACAGTAGGGGGTCATAAAAATGATTCTATAAAATAGAATTATTCATCACACAGCATAAAAGTAAAAAATACTGTACGCTAAGTTGATAATATTATGATATAATGTCTCACAATGTCGTTACTGTTCGTGTGGTATTTGCATGGTACACAGATCACAGAAAAACAAGTCAGTCGTCTAAAGTATTCACTGGTTGGATAAGGGGATACAAATATCAAATATACTCGAAATAATAAATATTATTTTTATATATTTGTATTTCAGGATTCCTTTAGGTTTTAATCCTGTGTGAGGGAAAGCGACTCACCCAGGCTCTCAGACAGCTGAGGGAACTCGTAGATGTGCTCACAGGTGTTACGGCTGTTCGGGATACAGAAGCCAAAGTCAAAGTCGAAGCTCTTCAGCAGGTGGTCGCGGAAGTAGTGCCTCTCGATCATGCGGAAGTTGTTTAAAGGCCGGTTTCCAACTGTGAATTCCACCCTGATAGAGAGATAGGCAGAGAGGAGAGACTGAGATTGTACACTATGCTTGAGTAATTATAATGGTATTACAGTCTGCACTGGATCCAATTACTTTCTAGCGCCCAGTGACGACGCTGTAATTGTTTCCTTTGTTTGTGTATGGAACAGGTGAGTGTGTTCTCCTTAGGTGTGTGTTGTTGGTGAGTCACTCACGTAGCTCCCACGATCCTCAGTCTCAGGAAGGCTGGAGTGAACTGGTACCGTACGAATCGGCCTGCGCTGGCGTCGGCCTCTCGGTGCTCCTCATCGTCCTCTGACACCCAGATCATACGACAGAGACATTTCAAATAAATACACTGAGGGATTATTTTGGATCAAATGTACCACTGATGTTTGTGAACCTGTCAACATACTTGGAGGCATTCATTTTTGAGATAATCACAAGAACAAGAGTCAATGATTTCATTGTAAAGTACTGAGAAACCAGATACAACAGCTTCATTAAAGAGCAAACTCAAATAAAACAGTACACGGAGGCGGCGGATGCACATTACCTGTGTGGGGGGGTTTGGCAATCTCAAACAGGACTGTGCCTGTCTCCAGGTCTCTGATCTTAAAGCGTACAAAGTCGACGTTATAAATATTGTCCTCGGGTTTACAGAGGTACCCTGCAACAATGAAATACACACAGATGTCAGGAGTTTAAAACACTGAAATGATTTACAAGCCATTGTAGCTCATGTGTACAAAGTGCCGATTTGACATGCGCAAAGATAACATTCAAAACACTAAGCTTGACTTTGTTTTTACACATGCAATTTGCATTCGGATACATATCCTACCAAACCACAAAATAAGATGAGATAACACAATGTTTTGTTATGATCACTGTGTAGTATTACAGAGATATGGGGAAAGCATGTGTGAAACCATCAAGAATATATCACACGTTATGCCACCAGAGAGAATAAAAACACTGATTGTGACTTCAAATGTCATAAACACTCCCCCTTGGCTCCAGTGTGATTTTTTTGCAAATTGCATATTTTGCCCCATCAGCTGTAAATATAGGTCATATGGCAGAATCTTCTGGCATTGTTTTTTTTAATCGTTTTTCAGGACACACAGAGTGATTTACTGTAAATCCTGGCAGTGATGTCACATTTATTCTCTGAGAGGTTTGATTTCTTCTTGCAATTAAAGTGACACCATACAAACGCCTCCTATAATTAAACCCCAGTGTGCATTGAGATGCTTAAAATAGGAACACCAGGTTTTTCCATGACTGAAAGATTGTCTAATGCAGTCTAACAATTCTTAATGATGTCAGGTATGTAATGTCTCGGATACATATAACATATAACAAATCAAATATAAAACAGGATATTTTAGTCGTGTCTCCATTATACCTGACAGCCATCCATATAAGCCTGTTCACCTACACGTCATTGGCTCTAGTTTTACGTAATGTGTGCATTTAATATATTCTGTGGGTTGTAGTAGAAAACGTTACGTTATGTTCAGCACAGGAAGCAAATTAAACATTGTAGGTCCACTTAAACCCACAACAAGAGACATTAGAGAGAGGAAAATCCAAACCTCTCGTAGCCCCCCGCAGTCCCAACACATCCTCCGGGGTGATATGTCCACTTTGTGTCCGCAGGTCCTCCTCCGTGACTGGCCTGCTGTCCACCTGACTGCGCCGGGACTTCAGCCTCTTCAGAACCCCTCCGCCAGGCTTGCGGTCCCGTGGAGGAGCCGCAGTGCCGTGCCCTCCGCCGGGGACGTTTTCAGCAACAGGCGCGTCGCTGCTGCGGGCTTTTGCTCCGCTCATCGTGGCTTCCTTTTCGTCGGCTTCCCCTTCTGTTTCAGTTCTGTGTGTCTCCGCTCTTGTCTCCTGATAAATGCGATAGGAAGAATAAGATGGCGTCCCACTCTCAGCGTTAGATGTCGAGTGTCGAAAGAAGTGTCGGTGAACGGTCAAGCTCTTGTTTTTGTAAGCACATGCTGTACAGTTGCCATGACAACTCGTCCGGTGAGGAGGATGTGGTGTCATGTGGTGTCATTCAGTGGAACGTCCACCAGGGGGCGCGCTTCAGGAACCTACGAGAATATACTGAAGAGTGTTTTAATTCATTATCACTAATACTACTGCCACTAATGGCACTAATTAATAATAATAATCAATGGTGAATGAGAGAAAAAGCTAACCTTGAGTGTGTATGCAATGTCTCCCATAGGATTTGTATACTGTACATTTCTTTTACATTAAACTTGTAAAAGTTCACAGCTTCCAATACTTGATTATGCTCCTTTCTGACAGCCTTTTTACCATCATAGGGCCTTATATATTTATTGGCCACATTGGACTTTCCTAAAATAAAATGAAATATATAAAAGAAAGATAAACTAAATTTCCAAACAAATAGTTAAACCGATAAAGAAAATGTCTTCATGTTGACCCAAGCATATAACGTTAACACCAAAGAAGATGACACTCATTTCAGAGTGTAAACACTGTTTAAACTAAACTTGACTACGTATTATGTTGGTGCATTTTTACCGCTTATGCACTAACATGTAAGCAGCATTTTAATACTTTAGCTGGTTGAGGTGCTACAGAAATACCATCTTATCCTAATGTTGAATGATTTGAAAGACAATTATAGACAACCCAATTAACACTCACATTTACCCTTAACACAATCCACATTCAGATGAAAAAATCCAGGTTTTATTTCTCAAATTTGCTTCATGGCAGAAATTATTTCTCTTGCTTGTGACGTTTCCATAAAGCCTAGGATACGCAAATGATACACTGTAAAGGCCCAGGTGTTATGCAAATGAAAGTGTAGTTAGTGAGTGCTGATGGGCACTTCCTGCTGTTAAAATGCCCCTCGAAGCATCCCCCAGCACTCTCCATTGAGCATGGAGAGCTACATTAATCCAACTCCTTTTAACATTTTGAAAAGTAGCTTCTTGTCTCAGTTAGAACCTGTTAATCCTGTCTATTCAACAGTTTACTAACATCAAGCCACAATGAATTTGCAGAGCACTTCCGGTCCGATCTTAAAAAATAAAAGAGCCACAACTCTCCAAATAAGAAATTGTGGTGAGTCACTCTAAGCATTACAGACATGTCTTGTTTTACAAAGTGATTATTGGTTGCCATAAAAATCTGTTTTAGTCATAGTCCTCCCAGATTTCTTAAATGTAATGAATGTTCCATTTATTTAGGTATACACTGAAAAATACTAAGCAATTTAAAGGGGGCCTATCATGCAAAATGCACTTTTGTACGTCTTTTATACATGAATATGTGTCCCCGGTGTGTCAGGGAACTCACCAAGTGTCAGAAAACACAACCCTCTCTCTTTTCCTCCATACCCAAATCTCTAAAAACGGGGCTGCAACGGATCTGATACAGACTGATACAGATTTGAAATATCTCTGACGTCAGAAATGAGGAGCTCCGCCTATATGGGCAACTCTCCACCTATCAGGAGGAGACAGCCACGGCCATTGCCGTTCGAAAGCGCTGGAGACGCTGTAGTATATGCCAGGCCTGTAGGTGGCGCTGTAGTCTGCCACAAAAGCAGCGAAGAAGACTTCTCACAGATTCAGCCCTTGCAAAACCAGGGCTAAAAAAGAGCAAATAGAGCGAAATGAGGCATGGCTAAAATGCATGATCTGTTTGGTATTTTGAAAAAAAAACTTCGCAGACATGTTTTATATAGGTATGGCCCTACAATATATTATTCAAATATAGCATGATAGGTCCACTTTAATCAAGCCTTATGTCCCCAGTAATCAAGTAACCCAGCGTCAATATCTAAAATCACTAAATCATAATTGATACAGAAAACACAATTCTTATTTAATAATTGTCTTTGTTCATATTACCTGATCAGTCACACACTGCTTATATTTAATAATCTTTGCACATATAGGAATGAACAGATTGCCCTGTAAAGTGGACATTGATCTTCATTTAACATTAGGTCTGTTAGGTGAATTTCTAGCACATTGGTGAATTAGCCTATAGTCCGCTGTATTTATATATTTGCCATAATACAAATTGTCTTTGTAATTTTAAAGAGGCCCTGTCGTGCTTTTTGGGATATCCCCTTTCCTGTAGTGCAGGGGTGTCAAACTCAATTTCATCTCGGGCCACATTAGCATCATGGTAGCACTCAAAGGGCCAGTTTTATATATAAGACTATATAAAAATACATATATAAATATTTAATAAAATAATGTATTATATTACATTGTTGCCTCTGCATTGGATTATTATCGTATAGGGTAATAACTTCATAATTAACTACGTCTGAAAGCAGAAGTCTGAGGCAAATCATTTCAAGTCTCTGCAGTGCGCATGTCACAAAATGATTTAAAAAGAAAAGCCAAATTCTGAAAAAAAAGTCAAAATCATAAAAAAGAAATAACATTTGTAAAAAAAAGTCAGATTCAGGGAAAAAGTCAAATTCTAAGAAAAAAATAATATTTTGAAAAAAAAAAGTCAAATTCTGAGAAATATGTCAAATTTGAGATGCATTGTTGCTGGGACATACTGGCAACGTGCTTTTGTAAATCGGCATGTAACCGTATAATAAACATATTATATTATTTGCAAGCTCTTGTGGGACCGCATCAAATGAAGTCACGGGCTGGATTTGACCCCCGGGCCTTGAGTTGGACACCCCTGATGTAGTGTGTGATATAGGTTTTTGTGCATGTAAATGGTCTGCAAAGGCTAAAATCCGAAAGTTCCCTCCAGAGGGAGTTTCTCACCCCCTGCCCGAAAGGCCTCCATTGGACTCCTTTGTTTACTTTTGTTACATAGCGACATCACTATGTGCAACTCCCGCTTCTGTTGGTTAGCACTCCAACTCATTGTACATGATAGGCTAAGGGGCGGGACATATCTAAGCTGTTGACCAATCACAACAGAGAGGGCCGGCTAACCAATCGGGTTTAAGAAAACAGGTGCTGCAGCACAGGCAGTATGAATATGTAAACATGCCACAGTAGAGGCACGAAGTACAAATCTGAATCTGGAAGTTAGCATAATAAGGCTCCTATAAGTTTATGACAAACTCGCTTTTATTGTGAAGTAAACACACGCCACTTCCTGTGTCTCGCTGTGTAACTTGCCTCCCCAGCAGCGGGCGGGCGCTGGGAGTGTCTGCTGGGTGTAGCAGCAGCCCGACGTCTCGTTAGTGTGAATGACTTGAAAAAACCCACTAACAACAGCTCAGCAGGCGAAACGCTCACGGAAAACTGAGGGACATTTTTCTTTTGTAACTTCTTCCCGCTTCCTTCCTTCCCCCACCTGTATGACTGCGTGAAGACAAAAGGTAAACAATAACATTATACTGCTGCTGACGAAATGTCTTATAAATATCTTAAAACTTCAAAAATCTGGTGTTAAGAGCAGGTGCACAAGCTCTATTACTATATTTTACTATCTTCTTAAAGAACATTGTCATGGGTAACGTCTTAAGTATCCGCATACATTTTTTCTCACAAAAGAGTGATTCACAACACTGACAGCCGAGCGTAAAAACAAACTTAGTTTTATTTACTTTTCACCTTTTCTTTGTCCAGTTTCAGACGGCTGGTTCAACGGAGTTCACTGTTGTGACGCGTTTATCAGTAACTTATTAACCATCCGAAATGAAGCATACGCACCGATATAACGTACATTTCGCAGTTTAATGTGCGCCACAAGTCATTGTATCGTAATATTTGCTTCACTGAGGAGCAGACGTTTCCCAAACTACGTGTTTAAGCTTCTCACAGCATCACTCCAAGAGGTAAATAACACAGTGGACATGAAAACGAAAGGGACCGAGTGCTGTCTGTTAGCCTTGGCAGGGCAGCAGGCACTGAAGGCAAATAAAGATAAAGAAACAAAAATCCCACAAGCTTAAGTGCTGCTGCAGGAAGATTTTCCCCTGACTGTGAATGTGGCCTTAATAAGCAACAGAAATCATCCATCAACTGCAGCTTTATTTGCCAGACACTGTTTATTTCTAAGGAATTCTACTTGAAAGTAAAAAAAAAAAAAGAGGGAGGTAAATCATGAAAAACAGGACACAGCTTTAAGAGTCCAATCCAAACCCATTGCACAATATCATGCACGCACGCCCAGAGCTGCTGTGTGTTTGAGCAATGGAGCAACAATTTTATTACAAACATATAACATGCAAAATACCTAAGTGCAAAGGCGGACTGCTGATCAAACCCAGCTGTAGATTAATAGTGTGAGAGTGACAGAGAAAGCTTTTTACTGACAAACACTGAGAGTTGCACAGTATTCAACTGGGGTGTGTAGTTACCGGTTTGTGTATAAGTATTACAGGTCAAACCAGATAACACAACAATGCCTGTTGTATATTTAGTGTTATACACTGGGAACATTACTGTTAAAAATGTGTACACAGGTGTCTAGGCTTGTCCTTTATTTCATCCTTGTGACATAGGTTTCAGTTCACTTGGAGATCTAGACTGTGATCTAGACATTTCTTCAGACTATTGTTGATGTGGGCGATGACTCATCAGGCCTGCCTCCATTGCTGACATGTCTCCCACCTGCCTGTTCTCATTCTCAGTTTAGGAGTTTTATTTCATATTAAGTGTGGTTTAAAAATTACACTGCACACTCACTGTCAGATCACATAACGTACTGTATGTATGTATCTATCTATGTATGTATGTAAGAATCTATGTATGTAAGAAACTGTAAGAATGTATGTATGTAAGTATCTAGGTAAGAATGTGTGTGTGTGTTATGTATTTATATATTTCTGTCTATGTATATTTGTCATTCTATTAATTAAATTGACTTTTATGACACTATCAACTTATGTTGAACAGATTTGAGTAGTGACGCCTTTTATTTGTTGAATATAAAATATTATAATATTATATATAATAATGAATATATATATTTTTGGTGTTTTTGACTGACAAACAAGACATTTAAAGCCATCAAATTGGACTTTGAGACACTGGGACAGAACAAACAAGGAAGTTCCTGCCGAAAAATGATTGTGCTTTTTGCAGCCTTTGTGAGCCTTAGTGAGGAAAAGTGTGATGTTATCAAAGGTCCAACAATACTCAGTAAGATATATAAAAAACATAACATTTAAAGTGTCAAGTATCAATACTTTAATTTAGGAAATAATCAAATATAGTCCATGTTGTGGTTTAACAAACAGTTTGTCCTACACAATGGGAATTACTTATATTGTCATTTCTCCCCCTCAGTATGGCTTCCCTCTGCTCATTTAGATCAACATTAAGTCACGTTTTGCACAACCTCAATCAGGGCTAGCTCTCAGAGGTCACACTCAAAATAAATATAAAATCCCCCATGCTAGAAAAGTGACAGTGACTGGCAGCTCTACATAAGGCTGCAACTAGCCATTTAAATGGTTTCAATATTTAAAAAAGTTCTGTGTCATTATTTGAAAACTAAACTGAGCAAAAAGTTAATAGGCTCCTGCAGGAAGACTTTCCATTGTTTCTGGTGTTTGTTCAGTGTGATCGATGTGTTTCTTTGTAACCCTGCAGAGGTTATTTGCCTTCAAAAATCTCGACAGACCAGTCTCATCCAGTTTTTCTACACCACCACCGCCAGTGTTCTTTCAATGTAAATGTACCGCCGTATTTAAACACCTCTTCTTCCTTCTTTCAGCGACTCAGCTATGGAGAGCTCCTTTGAGGTTTCCCAGACTGACGGCAGCTCTAACCCCAAACCATTTCTGGCCCCCAAACCTCGACTCACTCCCAAGCCCTTCTCTCTGCAGAAGAACACCACAATCCGCTCCATCCATGCCCCAAAGACGGTCACTTCAAACTCGACGAAAACCACACAGCAGACGGTCAAATCAGGAGCTGCAGGTCTCCCCAAACCTTCAGTGACAGCACCCGCACCGAAACCCCCTCAACAAACCCCCACCTCTGCTTCCAAACCCAAGACAGACGTAAGTGTCTTACCGACAGATCCACCAAAGTCAACCAAAGAAGGGATAGCAAGTGGAGAGGATACTCTTGATTCCAGCGTGGTAAAACCTGATCCTGCTCCACCCAAAGTGACACCCAAGCCTCCGCCAATCCAGAAAGACGATGTCATCCAAGCAAACCACAAAGCATCCACGGAAATTGTAACTAAACCAGTACAGAAAGAAGAAAATAAGAAAGAAGATGAATCGCAGACTTCTGTCGTACAAAACCTCGACGAATCAGGCAGTGACGTTTCCTCTACAGACAATCCAGCGTATGGATGGGGCGGCAGCAGGAAGCGGCTGTCAATGAAGCTCACCTCCAAGTTTGAGTCAGGTGGCCCATGTCTGTCCCCCCAGCCAGCTGTTACCATCACAACAACCGACACCAAAGATGATGCAGACAAGCCAGAGCCTTCAGACCCAGAGCCGAGCCAGCCGACATCAGAGCCGTCCAACAAGGAGGGCGATGATGGAGCGTTGCTGGGGGTAAACAGCGGAGGGGGAAGCATAAAACGCAGAATCAGCCTCCTGTTTGACTCCTCATCGAAGCCAGAGATCATGACAAAGAGAGAGGAGCCGGAAATTATAAATGGTGCAGGAAGTGTGAAGGGTGTAAGGGAGAGAATGAAAATCTGGGCAAAGGAAACACCCCCCGAGGATCCAAAGACTGAGAAGAAGCCTCAGGTTGCTCCAAGATCTCGCTCCAAGAGGTGAGCATGCCTTCTTTCATTTGTGCCGTTTGTGTTTGGTAACGTGTTAAGACATGAGGAAAAGGAAAACATTCTCCTCCAAGTGCAAACAAGTATAGTGTTATCTAAGGTCAAAAGCACAGATTCATCTTTGGCTCTACATTTCATTTCAGATTCTTCTGTTGTGATCAGATGCATGCAACAGATCAGGTGTTTTCTTTAAGACCAATGTTGAGCATTATTTATGGCCAATGATGAAGTCACACAGCAAGCTGTATCGTTTTTTGTTCAGTTTCCTTGGAGAGAGAAAGGTTTTTTCAGTCTCTGCCATTGTTTCTCCCAGTTTCTGTCAAAAATATTGGAGAGATGAGACAAGCCTTGAACTTATAGACGATTTAGTTTTACTAGCACAGTTTTCTTTTACTCCATATATAATAACTTACTTCTTAATGTACTGTGCTGTTCTCTCAGTAGTAATGTGGTAAATGAATAACGTAGCTTGCCAGATTTATGTCCTCAAATTACACTAGATAAGAGTTCAAACCAGGCCACTTCAAAGTATGAAATTTGAGATCTCCAACCACCTACCGGTATGAGTGCAGAGCATGTTTATTTAAAAAACAAACATACAAATGAGTGGCAAATAGAGGCTAGTGGAATATTTGTTGCTGTAATGTAGTCGAATCAAACCTACCCTTAAAGGAGAGAGAAATACAACTCTCATGTCTGTATGGTATATCTGTCAATGGAGCTTGTTGTTGGTTACCTTGTCAGTGGGGAAAAGTCTCCAGGAAGTGACAGCACCAGGCTAAGGCAAAGTTACTCACATTTACATTTTTTGCATGACATTATTTGCATTGATCCAACAAACAAAAGAGATATGTTAATGACTGAGCTGTAGAGGAATTAGTGGGCAGATTTCTTTAACTAGCTTATTCCAGTCATAATGCTAAGCTAAGCTAACAGGCTTCTGGATGTAAATGTATATTTAGCATACAGTCATGAGAGAATTCCGAATTAGAATACCTTTGTTAGTTAAATGTACATTTTTACAGAAACAGCAAAGAGGCAAAATATTAATTAAGAGGCATGCATAAAATATCAGAGATCGAATTTACACAAATTACAAAATTACCCATCCAGGTGGACAACAATAAGTACAGTAACAGTATTTAAAAATAAATAAATAATAATAAGTATAGCACGTTGAAGTGCTGTGATAGCAGCCAGGTAACAGTAGTGAAAATAAAATGATAGAATGCACAGTTATTGTACATTGTGTTACCAGGGCCGGCCCTAGACTTTTGGGGGCCCTAAGCTAGCTTTGGCTTGGGGGCCCCCCTCACTCTAGCGCGTTCTCACTACACACAACACGGAACCAACTTTTGTCTTATGATGTTAGCATAAGCACACATATTGTATAAATAAGCATGTAAACACCGTGGTCCTCACCTCCTCTAGGGGGGTCCGGGGGCATGCTCCCCTGGGAAGATTTTTCTTTAAATATTGAAGTTACAAGCATCAATCTGGTGCACTTTAAGAGCAAAATTAAGAGATCTATGGATACATCTCTCAACACCCATATGAAACAGAACTGTAAACATATTTTTCTTTATGGATATTTTACAAATCACTCCCCTTTTAAACTGTATTCTTGTTTTAGTATTTCATAACTATTTTTCATTTATTCTCTCTGGCTGTCCATCTCATAATGTTCACATAGAAACTAGCTGTCAATAGGAATATCATTCAGAAGAAATATAATTTCATGCAAAAATCTGTCACAAAAAGAGGTTGCACATTTAAATTCAGGTGTTGTTATGGCAACATCAGTGGCCAAACAGCCACATTTACTGCTGCAAATACGTTCAAACATGCTGTCGACACGTAAAGCAGTGGCAACTATGCCACCATTTCAGCTGACTTTTTCTCAGAAATACTGTCACATAACATCCATATATTTCAGTGCTAGGTTTATGCTTAGCTAATCTAACTATGAAACACTTTAACTGACAGGACTCAGGATCAACTGTGTACTGTAAGGTAGCTTCTAGCTTCATGTCGAACAGTAAGTCAACATTTTCCAGAGAGCTTTCTTTGAAATCACCAGGTAACGCTAAAAAACACAATATTTAGATTGTATGACAAAGTGTTTATTTAATATATCTGGCTAGCTATAGCTACTTGCTAACGGTTTAGCTTACCCCCGCGATTCAAAGTAACGTCAACGTAGCTGTAATTTATGCTATGTTCGCATAACTTGGAAGTTTACTGACATTTACATACCTTGTTCTCCTGGCTCAAGTGGTGGCTCTGGGGTTGTTGTGTGAGCCACCACTTGAGAATTGTCGTCTGTCCGACTGACAGTTTATTTTAAACATTGTCACAACTCACAGGATAGGTACCTGTCAGCCAATAAGACAGATGTTTATTTCCATTCAACTCTCTGGTTGGTCTGGTGTCTTGCCTCTGTTGCATTCACTGAACACGGGAAATTACAATCCTGCCGTCCTCTCATGATGAGGTTAAGGTAAAGCACGGTTAATGTATTATATGATTGACTCAATAATATAATACATGACTTTGAGAGTAGGCAATCTAGGCATATTAACAACATTAATTAAACATACGTATCACGGCGACGGTGTAGTTTTTTTTGCCAGGGGGCCCTTAGTGGCTGCGGGACCCTAAGCGGCCTTTTATGTCGCTTAATGGGTCGGACCGGCTCTGTGTGTTACAGTAGTTGAATAGTCTAATTAAGAGAAAGCACCCAACACATGTGTTATAGTCTGTTGTTATATGTGTGGTGGTCTACCAGGGGCCATGATGGTTGTAAAGTAAGAGTAAGGCATTCAAGAATATGTGCATTTTTTTTATTTGAAATGAAAGACCCCTGCCATTTATCTGTGGATAATTCTTCTGTAATTCAACTTAAAATGTTATCTCTTTTACAGCTTTGAGCCAGCAACTGCTCCAACAGTGGAAACACCCACAATGCCGCCTGCTGCTCCTGAAACCTGGTCCAGTCACACATTGGATCTTCCATCTAAGGTGTCGCCCGCCGAACCACCCACAGAGACCCCGATGGAAACATCCAAAGACGCTCTTACTGATGCCCGCTCAACAGAAAGCTCCAAAGAAACGCCAGAAGAGGATATGGAGGACACGTCAAGTGAAGGGAGTGTCAAACTACGCAAACAAGGCTCATATACACTCAACGCTGATGAGGGAGACTCCAGTGAGACACCTGAACACGCTCTCAAGAGGGACAATGTCAAACGACGCTCTGTTCGCTTCGGTGTGGTGGAGAGAGATGATGGTGGGCCTCCATTGATCCTGGGCTCACCGTCTTCCAGCGAGGATGAAGAGGAAGAGGAAGAGGAAGAAGAATCTGAGGATGAAGCTAAAGAGGACGTCCCTACGCCTGTCTACAGAAGAGTAGGAGGTCAACAGAAGAAGGAAGATGATAAGGCGCAAGAAGAAGAACGTCTGAAACATTTGGAATTTGAAAAAAGACGAAGAGCAGATGAACACGAGCAGCCGAGAGTCAAGATGGAAGAAGAGAAAAAGAAGGCGAGGGAGAGAGAAAGGTTGGACAGAGAGGAGATGGAGCGGGAAAGAGAGAAGGAGTTGATGTGGCAGAGAGAAGAGGAAAGAGAGAGGGCGAAACAGAAAGAAGAGAGACTTCAACAAGATCAGGAAGAGGGAAACAAGAGAGAAGTTATTAATAAAAAGAAACAACGAGAGGAGGAGTGGGAACAAGAGTGGGTGAAGCAGACAGAGAGGATAAGAGAAGAAGAACAGGGGGAAGGAAAGAAAGAGTTGGAGTGGCAGAGACAGAGAGAAGAGGAAAGAGAGAGGGCGAAACAGAAAGAAGAGAGACTAAGACAAGTTCAGGAGGAGAGGAAAGAGGGAGTGGACGAGAGACTGGTCAGCGGGAAAGAAGAATACAACGTCCAGCGGAAAGTGAGAGAGAAGGAAGGCAACAAGAAGTTACAAAGAGAGGAGGAGTGGGAACAAGCCTGGGTGAGCCAGGCAGAGAGGCTGAGTGGAGGAGACGAGGAAGAGATGGTGCGGCAGAGGCAGAAAGAGGAGGAGAGGGCGAGACAGAAAGAGGAAAGACTCAGACAGGAGGAGAGGGAGAAAGAAAGACTAAGAGCGGAGGAGAGAAGGGAAGAGGAAAGGAAGAGGCAGAGAGAGGAGGAGAGAAGGGAAGAGGAAAGGAAGAGGCGGATAGAGGAGGAGAGAATGGAAGAGGAAAGGAAGAGACAGAGAGAGGAGGAGAGAAGGGAAGAGGAAAGGAAAAGACAGAGAGAGGAGGAGAGAAGGGAAGAGGAAAGGAAGAGGCGGATAGAGGAGGAGAGAATGGAAGAGGAAAGGAAGAGACAGATAGAGGAGGAGAGAGCAGAAGAGGAAAGGAAAAGACAGATGGAGGAGAGAGGAGAAGAGGAAAGGAAAAGACAGATAGAGGAGGAGAGAAGGGAAGAGGAAAGGAAGAGACAGATAGAGGAGGAAGGAAGAGAAGAGAGGAGAGATAAGGGAAGAGGAAAGGAAAAGACAGAGAGAGGAGGAGAGAAGGGAAGAGGAAAGGAAGAGACAGATAGAGGAGGAGAGAAGGGAAGAGGAAAGGAAGAGACAGATAGAGGAGGAGAGAAGGGAAGAGGAAAGGAAGAGGCAGAGAGAGGAGGAGAGAAGGGAAGAGGAAAGGAAAAGACAGAGAGAGGAGGAGAGAGGAGAAGAGGAAAGGAAAAGACAGATAGAGGAGGAGAGAAGGGAAGAGGAAAGGAAAAGACAGAGAGAGGAGGAGAGAAGGGAAGAGGAAAGGAAAAGACAGAGAGAGGAGGAGAGAAGGGAAGAGGAAAGGAAAAGACAGATAGAGGAGGAGAGAAGGGAAGAGGAAAGGAAGAGACAAAGTGAGAAAAACCAATTTGAGGAACTGGAGAAACAAATGCGAGAGGAATTTGAGATAAAGCGTGCACAAGAACTGGAAGAAAACCGAAGAAAGGAAGAAGAGAGAGAAAGGGAGAGGCACATTAGGCTGAAGGAGCTGCAAGAAAAGGAAGAAGAGATGGAGAGAATGGGGCAAATACAGTTGGAAAGACAGAGAGAGGAGGAGAGAAGGGAAGAGGAAAGGAAGGGGCAGATGGAGAAAGAAAGAGCATTGGAGCTGGAGAGAAAGCTTCGAGAGGAATACGAGAGAAAGCAAGCACAAGAACGGGAAGGAAAGCTACAAATGGAGGAAGAGAGAAAGAGGCAAGAAAGAGAGAGTGTGGCAGACAGAGCAGAGAAAAATGTAATCAACTTTGACTCTGAAGATGTGCCTCAGAAGTCGCTGCTTTCCCCCTCAAAGAGGGAGGCGGAGGTTGTCTACGATGACTTCTCCGTCAGGCCGCCTGACATGCACGTGGTCTACGACGACTTCTCCGTCAAACCCAGGCCGAAAGCAGACACCAGACCGCCCTCGAAGAGTTGGGCAGACTACTCTGGGAACAGGCAGGAAGTAGTTGATTGGTTGGCGCCCCTGGAAGTCAGTCCCGTGGAAAACAGAGTGCGTGAGCAGGTGGAAAGAACAATCCTCCCCGAGCCTACAATAGCCCCGGAAAGTCCAGAGAAAGAGGAGAAAGAGGAAGAGGAGCAGAGCCCAGAAGAGGAAGAGCTCATCTCCTTGGAGATGGAGGAGGAAGAAGACGAGCTAAAGGTAAATACAGACTTTCTGTTGGAATACAACTTCATTCAAACCTGCTCCTGATTCAGGGAGTAGTTGTGAACACCATCATTGTTACATGAAAGGCAACATTGTGTAATGATTCACAAAGGGTGAGGTTTAAGCACAGAGACAGGAGAGAACACGTTAATGTGGTTATTTCACCATTGCATCAAATCACCCTGGCAACCACACACACCTCACCTGCACCAACACATTGGTATTCCTGTTGCACGGGTACAAGCATCTTGTTATACTCGCTTTACCCTGACTCAGTCTCAGCTCAAGAACGTGGTGTGTGTGTGTGTGTGTGTGTGTGTGTGTGTGTGCGTGTGTGCGTGTGCGTGTGTGTTGAGTGATGAAACCAGCATGGCCTGAACTCTAAATCTACTCCCATGTGTCAGTAGTAGTATCGGTCTTTACTCATAGTGATACCATATTTCTTACAATAATACAAATACTTAAAGTGTTTGATAAAGATAAGTCTTGACTTGGGAGGTCGACGATACAAATAATCCTAGCTGTGAAGGTGCATGATTCTCAATTCATGAAACCAAATGACTTCCCCCTTGAGATGATATGTGGAAAAATTACTTTCTGTCACTGCATTAAACTGTGAACTCAATTTCTGGTGCACCAGACAGGAAGTGAGGTTTCGTCCTCCTCTGCATGTTTCGCAACCGTCTGCTGCTTTCATTTTGTTGCCATTTATGTGTAAAGATAACATTGATTTCAAAGAGAAAGGCAGTTTTAAAGATAAATATTGCATGATCAAAAGAAGGAGGGATGGATTATTTCTCCTGGGCATCTTGGATGAGTTATTTCCAGCAGCAATGGGTGAGTCGTTGCTGATTGAAATATCACCTAATGTGTGTTTGTGGTTTCACAGTGAACTGCAGAGCCAGCTCAGCAGTTTGCACCTCTGACAGCGATCCACCTTATGGTTTACATTTGCTTTTGGTGTTGTCATGCAGTAAGCCAGCCACTCCCATCAGTATATGTTTCAACTTGAATATGAACTAATGAGCTGCAATTAACACAATAAACTGAGTTATCAAGTCAATATTGAATACAATACATGTAGAGCCAAATCACACACATCTGCTAAAGGATTATGATTTAAAAGCTGTTTTGGTAAAAAGCTCAATTATTAAAGCTTAGGCTAAATTGAGTGTCAGAATAATTGTCTTATGACAATGTATACCACAAGACAATATACAGTTGTCATATCAGAGAGTTTAATATCTGTCCCTTTATCATCTCTTGTAGGTAATTGTAAAACATCTGTGAGCCGCACCTGTGTGAGGAAGTCCTTTGATTTGTTGGGTGTTTAAATTTAGCAACTAATATATTTTTACCGTGACAATTCAACAACTCAATACTTAAAACCAGATGCTTTATATGTCGTTCATTTAATGAAAATGTTTTAATATCTGTAACTGAATTACTAACGCAGAGGATATCAAAGTCTAACTAACCCTCCTAATTCAGCTGTAAAAGTGAAAAGGTCAACAATGTGAACCCAAGCCAATGAACCAATAACTAGTAACCACAAAGGAACATATTTAAAGGGGACCTATCATGCAAAATGCACTTTGTGATGTCTTTTATACATAAATGTGTCCCCGGTGTGTCTGGGAACTCACGCAGCGTCAGAAAATAAAACCCTTTCTCTTTTCCTCCGTACCCAAATCTTTTAAAAATGGGGGTACAACGAGCGGATACAGATTTGCTGCCGATATTACGTAATTTCGGATTGGTGGACCCACAGAAAGTTGCTATCAGAAACAATGCCTGACGTGTTTTGGACGTCTTTGTTTACGTTAGCAAGCCTCGCTAACACTCAGAGCGAACCTGTGCTGAAGAGCACATGTGTTTTAAAAAGCAGGAAATAAAAAAAGAACTCACCTTGTGATAAACCCGCAAGAGAAAAAGCATTTGAGCTCCATACTATTTCAGAAATAATCTTTGATGTGGTTTAAAACAGGATGGCGTTTTATCACAGCAGAATTTAACTTTATCTCCGGTAGAATTCTGATCAGGCATTAGCTCCGCCTCCTCTTTTTTTTTTTTTTTTTCAAGCTAAGGACCCAAAATCTGTGTTTCTGTAACAGGGCTGCAAAAGAGGGGTATGAGCAGTATGAGGCATGGCTACAATGGGTGATCTGTTTGGTATTTTAAGCAAAAAATATAGGTAGGTATGGCCCTACAATATATTTTTTAAATATAGCATAATAGGTCCACTTTAACCATGATAACTAACAATCCTAACCTATTGTCATGAGGACTCCAGTCTACTTGACTTGTAACATCTGTTTCATCACGCTTAAATTATTATAGTTCAGGCATTCATTTTTAGCTTGTGTCCAATTTGAGGGTATTTATTTTAAGGCGTACTATAGTTTACCCTGACTTTGACTGTTGGTGACTGAAGACAGGTATACACATTGTATTAATGCTGCTATGCTTATGATATGATAAATATATATGCTTAGGCTGCTGGTAACAACTTTTTTTTTTTCAGTTAAATCAGAGTCCCATTGTATTTGTAGTACAGCTGCAGTCAACAGACCATGTCTGAGCTCACTTCTGGGTGGACCCTCATTAAACGTCATCGCTGTACTGCCTAAAAGAAGTAGTCCTAAATCTGTTGGAAGCTAAATAGTCTGCTGATGTTGCAACTGGAACATTTTAGTAACCTTAGCAGCGTCAGCCTGCCTGTATTTCATGAAGTAACAGACTGAAGTAAAAATGACGGCCTAACAACACACATTAAAGCAATTTAAAGTCCAAGGTCTAGCACATTATGTAACTAAATGAGAAACATCTTGCAAAAGATTACAAATCTGAAAAAGAAAGGAAGGTTTATCTTATCTAAAAAAACAAGGAAGCAAAAATTCAAGGTGAGAGTTATCAGAGAACATCAGAGAGTATAAGCAGCGGACAGGGCCGTGCCAGTTTAGACAGAACTGTGCACCACCTGTTTGGACATGCAACATTTTTACCCAGAGGCAATGTAATGAAAACACTGAACTGTGGAGCTCTGAACTCTGTGTGTGTACGTGTGTGTGTGTGCGTCTTTGTGATATTGCATTTCTGTTTGCTACGTCAATGCTTCAGCAAACAAACCAACTCTTTAAACAGGTAAGCTCCTGTAGAGCGGCATTGTACATAACCACTTATCTTCAGTGAGGCCTTTGGTATTATTGAAGCTGTGTTTGTCATGAGAGTACAGACGGTTTCTCACCAGCGAGTGGCGCTGCTGCTCTTTAAAATTGCACTTCCTGAGTCTGCACCACAACAAGTTCATCTCATGTAGAAGAGCACCTTTCACTGCTATAATATGACAAAAGAACACGAAACAGTCAAGTTTATGTCAAATAAATGAAATGTTTCTGCTGCAAGAACAATCTACAGCTATTTGTGTGGCTGAGAAAAGCTGGACAGGACAGAATGAGGAAAATGTTTACTGGGCAAACACAAGCTGTGCAGCCAACCGCACTGCCTCATTCAGGCTCAAAGACAGACAGACGGACGGACAGACAGACGGACAGACGGACAGACAGACGGACACAGACTGACAGTGGTATGATCCGAGGTGCTGTGTGGTCATCATGTCCTCATTTGGATCTGGTCAACAGGGCAGCGTGTCAGAATGACCATACATGGTGCCCCTCTTTCTCTGTCTCTCTACTCAATCTCTCCACCCCAGTTTTAGAGAGCCCTTCACACTCTACACACACACACTTTCTGGCACAAACACACACACTCAAAGGAGGATGGGCTAAACCCCGGACCAGAAGTTCACATGTCCACAGTCATCTAGCTCCAAACTTTCTCTCAACTTGTGAAAAAGTCTTCCTGTTTCCTGCTGTTCCCTCGGGCCTTTCCTCTCACAAAGACCTGGTTTATTCAGTTACCTGCATCATTTACCTACGGGGGAGAGAGAGGAGGGAGGTGCATAAAGCACCTTCACTCAGCCTGCCGCACCTTCCTTCCTTCCTCTCGGGATTTTCCACATCCGAGCACAGACCTCCACTTTGTTTTGATGTTTTTGAACGTGGAACTGCTCAGGTATGGAGGAGAGGAAGGGGTGATCTGACTTTCTGTACCTGGCTTTGGATGTGGCAGATATTTCCCACGCTGCTTTTCCTTTTTTTTTTTCCTCAATGGAAAATGGAGTTGTGATGAGAAATGGGACGTAGGTAGACAAGCTTGACTGTGGCAGAGAAAGTTGAAAGAAAACAAAGAAAGAGGGCGCACATGAAATGAGGTAATCTACAATCGTCATAATTGCTTTACTTCCAGAGGGACATTTGTCATAGAGAGTTTTGTCAGCGTCTTTTTTACAAGGATTATTATGTGATGATTGGAAAGTCTTTCTCCGAGACGCTTGTGTTTAGGATGCCACATCCATCGCAGTGAGTGCTGCAGTGGAAGAGTTGTTTCACAGCGCAAACACATGGCCTCTCAGACTATTGACTTCTTCACTGACAGCAAATAATTGACTGTTCCAGGGAGTTTGTCTGACCTGAACCATAACATTATGGAGAGAGAGGACGCATCAAATGAAAGATGGACTATACCTCGTTTTGTATGACATCAGAACAATTTGTGCCCTCTTTACCTTTTACTTGCTGAAAATAATGACTGAAAAGCAGACGAGAGACGCGGCTTTCTGACTCCGCACAATCCCTTCATCTCTAACAAAGCTCAGTTTCTCTGATGACCCAGTTCCCATGGTGACCCTAGTGACCGTGTGAGCTTTCCGGACCATGCAGTACTTTGGAGGGAAGATGTCGGCCGCCCAGCTCCAGGTGACGGGATGGGTGGGCAGCGTGCGGCGCTCCTTGCAAGGGGCTCTGGAGCTGGTGTGGGGCCCTGCAGAGGACACGCAGAAGACGGAAGAGGAGGATAAAGTGGACGAGGTGGAAGAAGAGCAAGGTGGCGATGGCGAAGGAAGGTTTCAAAGAGCTATGACGCCACTTCGCAGCTTCGCCAGACGTAGCAGGAGATCCCTACGTCGCTTTTCTGACAGAAGTCGGCAGACCCTTCAGAGGAGAGGCCCTGAAACCTGCTCTGTAAGAAAGAGATGATGTAGCAGGAAGTAACAGCTTAGAAATATATATCCAGTTCTAATGAATAGGACTGAATAATGACAACCTCATTTTTAAATAATTGCCTTTTAAAGGTTTCAACTGACATTAAGTACAAGAATCAGCAGCTTTTAGGGCCTGGGTTAATCAAATTAAGAGCCATGGGTATGGGTGCTTTTCACAATATGCTCCAGGGTTATATCTCCCCGCCCATGTGTCAACAGATAGCCATGCAAATGTAGAGAGGGAGAGCAGAAGCTTCAGGAAGGAAGCAGCTATCTGATAAAGTTGTCCAAATGTAGTGTTTTATCAGCGTACATGCACGCCCTATCCCTCTGTGTCTGTGGTGTGTGTCAGAGATAAAGCAGATGACTACAACAAAGTGTGACACACTTAGACAAGGTTTATGTTTACTCATGGCTGGCGCAGTTATATATCATTACATTAGAGTCCATTAAATTAAATGAACCATTACATTGGATCACAATAGTGCTGTAACTAACAATTATTTTCAATGTGGGTCAATGGAGAACTTTCTGGATAAATCAATTAGTTGTTTAATATTGAAAAATGTTGACTAATTTTATAGCAACGACGAATACATTTGTTTTTTCCGCTCTGAATTATAACTATTAATTGTAATATTAGTTTTATTATGTTTTTTCCTTGTAATATAATCCACTTATAGGACAAATTCAGTTCAGATTTTTCGACAAAAGAACACTACACTGCAGTACAGTTGATCTAAATATGACGGTATACTATTGTTGAGTTATCAAGATCAAGATTTAGCAAAAGGACGATAAAAAGAGCATTTGTTGTTGTTGATATCGTGCTCTGCTTTGGAAATGAAAGACAAATGTATCTTTGGGTGCTGGCTGCAATACAGGAGCTAGTTCTTTTGAGACATACAGGCTGAGAACTATTCTGGTAGTTTTGCAGTGTTTACTGTGTGTGTGTGTGTGTGTGTGTGTGTGTGTGTGTGTGTGTGTGTGTGTGTGTGTGTGTCTGGGCGTGTGTGTGTGTGTGTTTATATGTGGGTGTAAGTACACCACAGAGACCAAAAGGTGAAAATGAGCTTCAGGCTGTATCCACTTTACATTTTGATGATCCATCACTTTCCATTATAAGAGTAGATTTGTTGTTGTCAGTCTTCATCTCTTACTCTGTTTTAGAGTCACAGTTGTGCGTGCGACATCTTTAGATGTTATCCTCTCCCCTGCACCAAACACAAGCTGACTCACACATTCCTCTGGTCTTGACAAAAATGTTTTGGATGTAAACTATAATAAAGCCCACTCTGTCTTGACTTGCACATCCTCCGCCCACCCAAGCATACTGCCCTGGCACACACTCATACATAGGTTTATTGCAGTTTAGAGATTCTTCTATGGTGAAGTTTGTAAAGCATCTGGTTCTTATGGCTGTACTTAAAGGCTGTTGCTGTGTTGTTACAAAACGAAATGGAGTTTCCATAGTGTGTATGTACTTCTGAATCAGATGTACATGTGTACATTAATAGATTGTTTCTGATATTTTTTCAACAAGCTGGTGAACGTAAGCACTTAGCTGCTAATTTCCCAAGGAGTTTATGGAAGCTAAAGATAGAGCTTAAAGAGTAAAAAACTGATTTATATTTGTTGGGTGGCTAAAAACATTATTTCAAATGAAGTTTAAAGTTGCTCTATAACTGCTATGTATAAATATGCACCTGTTTGCTTACTTTGCTAACATATTCACTACAGCTAGCTCTCCGACACATTGTACTTGACAGACTAAGGGCGAGACATCTTTAAGCGGTTGACCAATCACAACAGAGCCAGCTAACCAATCAGAGCTGACTGGGCTCTGGTTTCAGACAGAGGCTGAAAAGAGGTGCTGCAGCACAGGCAGTGTCAGAGAAATAAAGACCTTTTTGAACATTAAAGCATTAAACATGTCACAGCAGAGGCACAAAATACAAATATAAACCCGTAAATGAGCATAACATGTCCTCATTAATGAACTTTTGCTTTAAAATCATAAGAACCTTTTTGGAAGAGTATCCAGGATACATTTTGTAGAGTCACATGTTTTGCTGCAAATAAATAATAAAAGCATGGGGGAGATTCAGGATGAATTCACGTTGGTGGAATCCCCTAACTGTAGCCTGTTTGTCTCTGTGAGAACGGACCTTGTTTTCCTCTGCACCTAAACACAGTCTGTGGTTATAGGAAAATCACTAGAAGCCTATTCATTCATGCTATGATGTTGCCAGATAACAGGCATTGTGCAAATGAAGCTGCAGCTGCTGCTGTGTGAGTAATAAATGGACTTATGGAGGAGATGAAATGTCGGGGATGTTTACCCGGGTGTTGTTTTGTATCCAGGTGACAATATCAGACAACGCAACACTGGGATGTGCCCCTTGACAAAATGTGAGCTTAAAGGAATGTTTGTGAGGAAGTGCACTGCAGTAGCTGTTGTCTGAACGTGTGTGTGTGTGTGTGTGTGTGTGTGTGTGTGTGTGTGTGTGTGTGTGTGTGTGTGTGTGTGTGTGGTGTGTGTGTGTGTGTGTGTGTGTGTGTGTGTGTGTGTGTGTGTGTGTGTGTGTGTGTGTGTGTGTGTGTGTGTGTGTGTGTGTGTGTGTGTGTGTGTGCGCGCGCGCACCCATGCATTCCATCATGTGGGCGTGACAGCAGCAGCATGAGTGTGTTTGGTGTGTCTGTGTGTAGGCATATAGGTGGGTATGCCAGTGCTCATGGTGTTTATCGAGGACAGCCCAGCCTCTGTGACCGGCTCATTAAAAGATGCATGCTCGGCTGGTCCTCAGCCCTCTCTCCCTCTGTAGTTACTGATCTTGGCTCAGTACACGGTCCTGTTCACCCCCCCGCCTCATCTACAGAATGTGACGTTCTAATACGCAGAATTACAGAATAAAAGCACATTCACTTCATTTGGATTGTGTATGATATACAACAGAGAGAGCAGAAGGGTTGCTGGTTTCGTCTTTAGCCAAATATCTTTCCCTACATAGCCCAATACTTCCTTTATGTTTTCTCCGGTTCTGTTGTATGATATGTATTTTTGTTCATTTGGTCTGTCTTTTTGTCTTTCAGGCACCTGTTAACAGTTATAGCCCAACGGGGGAAGACACTGATGCTTTGATAGACAGTGAGCCAGAGCAGCAGAATGAGGCCTGCGAGCAGACATCTGACATTGACAGGTAGGAGAGAGGTTGCACAAAACACATACTGAGTCTAAACTGCGGACTGTGTATATTTCTATCTACCCTGATGGAGACAGACAGGACTGGACAGGTTTAAGTGTCATGTCTTGTGCTGAAGGTGTGGCTTCACATCGAGGTGATTTGATTCAAACTGCAACACGTCTGATGATAAAAGTGCTATAGCCATCGGACATGACAGTTTTCAAGGATCAAGCTGCATTACAACAACCCTTTGTGAAACTGGACTGGAATACATTTCAGTCAGCTTTGTGTGCTTAAATATTCAGGACAATGTGCATTTGGCAACTTCAAACATCAATTATTTGACATAACCAATAGTAACTGCACACTAAAATATGATAACAAGGACTTTCAAGTGTTTCCAAGACTGAAGCTCCCTGTGCCCCCTTGTGGCTACTAGAGCTCAACACTGAAACAGTTTCCTTTTCCTACTCATTCAAATCACACATGATTTCAAATGTTCTCTCTCTTCAGCCCAGAGCCCGTCCCTGACGAGGTTCCTGAAGAACCCTCTGAAGACCCTGATACCACTGACTTCTCCAGAGTGCCGGAGCAGGCTCCATTCCCTGAGGTTGGTGACTCTTTGTTTCTATTCCTCCTTTGTGAAAGGGCACAGCCGATGTCTGCGTCATCCTCTACAAACATTAACATGTAGTTTGGGTGTAACTTTGCATACCTGACTGGAAAAAAACCACTCTCTTGCATCTGCTTTGCTGTAGTGTGATAGTCCATTTACAATCACAGTGTGTTGCATTCAGTGTGTGCTGGATCAGTGCTTGTCCACTATGTTTGTATATTATGTACATGTATGCGGAACTGCTGGACGGAGCCCAGAACGAATTTCCTTACGGGGACAATAAAGTATATCGTATCGTATTCTCAAACTTTTTTCAGTAATGTACCCCCTTTGAAACATTTTCTCAGCAAAGTACCCCCTGACCGACCCCGGACATTTTTGACAGAAAAAGCCTATACAAATAATTACAATATAGTGATGTTCCATCAGTGTTTGATTTATTAACTCCTTAATGCATAAATTACAACAAACTAAGGATATTTTCATCTTTATGCATGAAAAAAAATATTTTTCCAAGGAGATTTTCAATTGAATTAATATGTTTAACAAACCAATGAACAAAATGAAAATGAATTATTAAAAACTATAAATACAATACACAAATGTAACATGTTTATATGAGGACCCCCTTAGTGGTTCTAGGAATATTTTATATAAAATTGTGTTTTCTATTTAACTTATTGTACTAAGATTATTTTTGTAAACATGCATGGTATTTTTTTAATTAACCTTTTTATTTATTTTTACCTCACGTACCCCCTGCAATACCCCAACGTACCCCTAGGGGTCCGCGTACCCCCATTTGAGAATCACTGTGCTAGATGATGTGTGTGTTTTTGTGCACAGAGCTCCACTCCTCTCCTCGACACCAGCGCTCAGAGATCGAAGGCAGATCTGGGTAAGCGCCGAAGTCGGTCGCGTCCGCCACGCTCGATGCGTGGAGGTTTCTCTCCAAAGGAAAGTCAGGACTGGAGGGCCCAGGACACCATAGGTGATTACAGCATCCATAATGTTGAATGATCTTCAGTACATTGAGGGCTGGAGCTCTAAGTTACAGTTTTTTATAACTAATCAAGCAATTTCTCAATAAAGCAGTCTGGAAATGTTGATGTACTGATGGCTGAACGTTATATTGATGATTTTAGATGAAAAGAAGGCATCGTCTAAGCAAAGGGATTCAGACTCTGAGGAGGAGCAGCCTAAACCGAAGATAGCTCGTTCTCCTCCCCCCTCTCAGAGAGTCCCCATGTTCACTGGTTTGAACCCTGCATCCCTTATTGTAAGCACTATCAGAGTTTGAGAATCATTTACTATGTTTTACATTTTTGACAATAAATAACATGATACAAATGGGTGGCATTTAAATTGACTTGAATTCAAATGTCCCCTCAAGGCTCAGCTGAAAAGGAGAACATGTGGAGGAGGAACCAGAGGAGGAGAGGAAAAGGAAGAAAACAAGGGAAGAGAAGAGAAGGAAAGTCGAAATGAGGAAGCGGCTCCATCTCCCTCAAAACCCTCCCGCTCTCCTCGCCCGGCCGCTCGCTCTCCTCGCCCAGCCGCTCGCTCTCCTCGCCCAGCCGCTCGCTCTCCTCGCCCAGCCGCTCGCTCTCCTCGCCCGGCCGCTCATCTCCCCGGGGCGGCCCGAGTCCTGCCACCCATAGGTGGTGGGGGAGGAGGGTGAGAAAAGATCATGACAGCACAGAAACTTAACAAATCCTTTATATGATGAGAAATATGGTATGTGTCTTAATCATGACCTTTGACCTGTGCTTCTGTGTCATTCAGGTCTGTCTCCTCTCCCGCCTGGCTGAAAGAACTGAAGTCTAAGAAGCGCCTGAGTCAGCACGACAGCGAGACTTAGCCAGACGCAGGTGAGCAATATGGGCAAGGGGAACATTGAAATACCAAAGACAGTTATTCTTGGCCACATAATAAAATATTAATTCAAAAAGGAAGTTTGTTCAAAAGGGATTTCTGCTTTTTCCTTAGACCTAGCATATTACCAGATTACCTGGGTTTCTTTTGTTACATTGTACAGTCGAGTCACATTTTTCAGCATTTTTTAAACAACTACTTTATGTGTCAATTTAACGCTTCTTTCTTTTTCTTTTTACATTTTACTAGCATTGTGAGTTGGTCAACTAAACACATTTTAGCTTCTTCTCATAAAAAGACGAGCCAGTGGTCACTATACGAATAAAAAACATATTTTGGATGATTTTCCTATTTAGCAACCTGATTTAGCTACTGGTTATATTAACATCAGAGCTTTCACAGCCTATACATTGCTAGTGATCCGTAATGTAATGTAAAATACTTAACAGGATCAGCCATAGAGGAGCGTTGAACGTTTTGATCTTTTTGAGATATGGCTAATACCCTGAATTATTGCTGTTGTGAAGGCGTTATTTAAGAGTTAATATGCTTGTGAGTCATGATGTGAGACAGCTGAATAGGTTTGCGATAATAGAAAACAAGTGCTTTGGACTTTCCGGCAATGCTGTCAGGAACACTTATTTAATGCAACTGTACAAGATGCTGACAGCAAAGACAAAAGCAGGGAGTGGGCCATATCTCTGCAGAGCTTTCTCCTATCACCATGTTAAAGTGTGCACTGGGTGATGAGGTTCTTATTGTTCCTGAATGCAATCTACTCTGCTTGATGCTCTTTTAATTTGCCTATTGAATCGCCGCTTGCATCCATTTTCTTTCTTACCTTAACAGCTGCAGTATTGAAATGTAAAATGTTGATACAAGGCAAGGCAAGTTTATTTATATAGCACTTTTCAACACAAGGCAATTCAAAGTGCTTATGTGTTAGAGTGCCTCTTTGACCCTTCATGCTACACATTAATGCACTCTTGAGTAATCTGTTCCAACAAATTACATGTGATAACATATATGCATAAAGTCAATGACCTTAGTCTGTGATAATGGAAAAAAAATTGAGCAAACCGAAATTGCACTCAGTCCTATGATTTGCACTAGATTTTTATTTTGTCTTTTTTCTAAATGTTTCACTCTTTTATTCTTCCTACCCGAGTTTGAAATGTAAATAATATGCTATATATAATAAACTTTCCATGCTGATAAATCAAATAATCATTAATATCTTCCACTGTACTGTAACCTTTTTATTCTCTTGGCTTTTTAATGACTGTTTTTAAATGTATATGAATGTCATTTTATAATGCATTTCTGTTGCATACCAATGCTTTTAATGTTATTTGTAAAGCACTGTAAATTACCTTGTATTGAAATATTCTATTTTTAAAAACTTGCCATGCCTTCCTGAACTTTTCTTCCTCTGGTTCCCTTTAGGAGACACTGGGACAAGGCTGTTCAGCAAGAATCAATCCATCTCAGCTGCTGCTGCTGCTGGCAGAAACCTTGGCATGATTGCTTCATTTTCCACTTTAAGTGCCTTATTTTGGACATTTACTGAGAAATGCAACAGGGGTATTCAGGCTTTTGCTGAACGTAGTGGCCATCAAGAACTTGTCTGGCCTGTACATGAAATATGGTGCCAAGTCTGTGATGTGTTCATGCCAAGTACATGATTTATTTTCTGCTGTACAGAGGCTCAATGGAGGCAAAATACCCCATTGTAATTCAGAGCAAAGCCATGGACTGTCCTATTGTTTGAATGTATAAGTCCAATATATATAGTGACTTGACCGATGACACTAGGCTTCAGCAGGGTATCGCCTGTCACACACACACACCTATGTACAGAACATACTGAATATACATATAGATTGCATCTTGTGTGTATTTAGTTAAATTGTACAAAATGCTTTTTACATTCTCTTTCTAATCACAAGTAAACCTTTAAGCACTTTAAGAACATTTTTAACAAATGATGGTACATCTAAGCAATACAATAATCAAGTACCTTACCGTAGTATCATGGTCATTGGATTGTTTTAATTGTTTCACCATGTATGTCTATTCTCTTTCCAGTTCCAAAATGTAAAATGTACAATGACTAGGATTTTATAAACATTTTTATTGATTCAAACGAAAAAATAATCTATCAACTATTGTGTTTACAAACTCAAATTGACAAATTCTTCTTATTGTGCCTTTAAAGATGCACTTCCTGGATTTTGTCCAATCGACCAGTGAGCTGGTGAAGTATATTTTTATGCTGTAACAGAATCAGGAATTGTTTTTGTAAAATATGAAACCCAGAAAAATGCAATCATCTGCTCGAGATGCTTTTATGTGCCTTTTTCAATGTTAAAGAGTGGCTGTCATCAATGCAGTAATCATGTATGATCAATGCCATGTATAATAAGAGGAAATTGAGGGAATTTTATTAAAACCTTTTTCTATGAAATGCAATAGAGTGTGTGGTTTTTTATGGAAAAACATAGTTGGAAGTGGAGCATTCAAACATACACACCATCCGGTCAGTTTTAAGATACAACTTGGACAAAGTCTCGTGTATTGTACGATACGATACGATACGATATACTTTATTGTCCCCGTAAGGAAATTCGTTCTGGGCTCCGTCCAGCAGTTCCGCATACATGTACATAATATACAAACATAGTGGACATTTAAGAGACATACACATATCATCAATCATACACCGTTTGAACAAACGCAATACACGCAGACGCACATACTGACAATGGCGACCTATTGCACAACCCTCATGGCCAACATTTAAAAAAAAAAAATTAAAAAAAAGTACATTTCATTACATTTGACTTCGACTACATTTCACTTCCTGTCAATGTTAAGAAGTTTAACGGACATTGGTAGGAATGAGTGCTTATAGCGGTTCAGCCTGCTCTTGGGAACCCTGAATCTTCTACCAGAAGGTAGGAGCTGGAATTCTGGGTGGAGTATGTGGGTGGGATCAGACACTATTTTGTTTGCCTGTCTGATAATGGACTGCTCATATATGTTTTGGAGAGATGGGTGTTTTTTAACCCCCATAATTTTCATAGCCGTCTGTACCAGGCGAGCGATCTGTGACTTTGACTGCACTGTCAAGTTACCATACCAGGCAGTAATACCATACCTAATGATGCTCTCCAACACTGCATGATAAAACAGTAACATGAACTTCTGGTCGACTCCGAAAGCCCGGAGTCGACGCAGAAAGTACAATCGCTGTTGAAGTCTAGAGCACAGACCTTGAACATGCGCCTTCCAGCTGAGTGTATTATCTAGATGGACACCAAGGTACTTATAGGAGCTGACCTGAGTTATGGGTTCACTAATGCATTGTTATCTAGAAATATATATGTGTTCTTGTTGTGCCAATCATTAATTTAGACTGTTTTGTTGCGAGTTGCAGAGTGTTGGAGATATAAGCCCTAAAAATGTCTCCCTTCTCTCGAATATAATGGAACTAGATGGCACTCGTCCTGTGCAGCTCAAAGCAGCCAGGAAATCAATTTGGAACACTTATCAGCAGTGTCTCTTTCCAGGAATCATTTCAAGACTTAGTGTGCAGTTTTCAGATAGGAACTTTTTTCTTAACACATTGCCGTTTAGAAGAAAGAGTGCATCTCCAAAAGGTTGAGGGGCACTCCTGTGCTAGCTAATGTTACATCTAAGTCGAGGAGGGCGCAATTAATCCTATCTTATATGTTTACATCCCATGCTGTCACTAGCATTCTTACATAAAACAAAGTGCTTTAAGCAGCTGGTATCTCCAACTCATCCCCCCAAAAATCTGAATAGATAAATAGCACTCCAGCTAAGAGGACAAATATGTATTATTGATTTTGGGATAAAGATAAAGATGAAGAAACAGGCAGAAGATATCATTGCAAGATAGCTGTGTGGGGCCAATACTGCTGAGTGAGACTGATCTCTGTTCATTCTCTTGGCCAGCAGTGTGCCCGCTGTAGGATCATGGGCAGGATGGCAGCGTTTGCCAGTGTGCCAGGGGCAGAGGGCCTATTGAGAAGCAGTGTGATGGACACAATGGGTGCGACAGACTTGCTGCATCAACAGGCTTTTTGCTGCTGTGGCCATAAATAAACCATAAATACCCCCACTGGCCTCCACAGAACGCTCGCCAGGCCTCCACACCCACAAACACCCTCACACTGAGACAGACAGGAAAGAAGGAAAACAAAGGGGAAAGACGTGGTGCAGTGAAGCACAAGCAATCCAGGTAAAGCAAATTAAGATATTCCCTCTCTTTTAGGCTTTTCTTGTTATCCTGTCTCCCTGTCCCTTCTTCTATCTGCTTGCTTCTTAAGAAGCAGTTTGTGCGTGCACTTTTGATGTGATTTGATTTCTTACAGATAGAATGGACACAATAGGATTACGTTAAATAAACAAGTGAAAGGTCTGCAAAGATAGATTTGTGAACTATCAATGCAAGCAGCTCTGATAAAAAAAACAGCTTGAAGCCTTTCCTGTGATGCATCAAAGTTTGATAATTGTTGTTGGTGCAATTAACTGTATATACCCCAAAACATTACAGCTAAAACATCCTAAGAGTAAAAATCAATCCGATGTTGGCGCTCATAGGATTAAACAATGTTGTTGCTGTTCTTTAGAGACAAAATGACCGACAAGCAGGGAACCCCAGACCAGCTGCCAGCAGAAAAGGGCCAAGGAGGAGCCGGAGCCACATATAAGGTAACTCAATAATCACATGTCCACAAATTATTATGTGTCAATTTGAGATCTGTCAGAAATACCTTGACTTGGACTTTGTTGGAGATCACATTCACCCGACTCTCCACCTGTTTTGCAGTTGGAAGTTTTTGAGTTTGAGAACTTTCGGGGAAAGAAGGTGGAGTTGTCTTCAGAATGTAAAGATGTGATGGAGAAGATGCAGAGGGTCGGCTCAATCATCGTGGAGTCTGGACCGTGAGTAATCTAGTTTCACTTTATTGACTTTCATACAGTATTTATTGCATCTGCATCCAGTTTTCTAGCTGTTTTTCTTGCTTGGCATTATTTTTTTAGCATTTTGATGTAATGTATTTTCTCTTTACCTTCAGATGGGTGGGATATGAGCGTCCAGGTTTTACAGGAGAGCAGTTTGTGCTGGAGAAAGGAGAATATCCCCGTTGGAGCACCTGGACCAACTGTCTGAACAGCTACAGCCTGAGCTCATTCAAGCTTCTGAAAGTGGTCAGTATAATAAATGTAATATTCACAGATTCTCTCAGACATGATAAACCTATTGTTTTTTTATCTGCAGGACAGTGCAGATCATAAGCTGCACCTGTTTGAGAATGCAGTGTTTGAAGGTAGAATGATGGAGATTGTTGATGATGACGTCCCCAGTATTTGGGCATATGGTTTCCAGGACCGTGTGGCCAGTGCAAAGGCAATCAATGGAACGTAAGCTGTAACCTTTCCAGTGGTAAATGTCATATTATATATTTGTTCTATTTTTAAGGAAAAGTAAAACACTACTCTTTCTCTTCCCATGAAGGTGGGTGGGATACATGTACCCAGGCTACAGAGGGCCCCAGTATGTGTTTGAACATGGAGATTTCAAGCACTGGAACGATTGGGGAGCCAATGCACCTCAGATCCAGTCCGTCCGACGTGTGCGGGACATGCAGTGGCACAAGAGAGGGTGCTATATTGCCACCACCCCTACACCTCCCAATCCCGCCCCCGCCCCCGCCCCCACCCCCGCTCCCGCTCCCGCTCCCGCCCCCGCCCCCAATCCAAACCCAACCCCTAAACCTAACCCCAATCCAAACCCCACTCCCAAACCGAACCCCACTCCCAATCCTAACCCTGCTCCCAACCCTAAATCCCAAACTCAACCCCAACCTTAACACCATCACCTCCTGCACCACCGGGCCAGGCTAAAGGCAGCTGGCCAGTCCCCAGTCTCTCTATACTACGCCCCCTGTTAGTTTAGACTCTAGAGAATATATATATCACCATGCAATTTTGGAAAACTGTAACTGACAATAATGAAACATGTTAATTTGTTGGAAATAAAGGTTTGGCCCTGATTTTGGCTTTCTGATCATTTTTGCAAGTTATTTATTAAGCATAAATAATTCTAGAGAGGTGTTCTTTTATTCACAGTATTGTTAAAATTGCATGTCTATGAAGCATTAGGAGCAGCACTGGGAAACCATATTTAAATGTTTGGGGTAGTTAAATGGGCTATTGTTTAGGTCAATTTTGGGACAGTAGAAATCAAATATTGATACACATCTTTTAAGTTCCCATTTGTCTGTTAGATGTAATTTGGCACTATAAAATTAGGAAAGGGAAAATATTGACCTGACCTAAAAGCGATGGGCATGTAATGTAATCAGTTCAAAATGACAACTTTGTCAACAGGTTAATTTAGACATTGCTAAATGACAGGATTATGTTACCCCTTTAAAATTAGTGACATGTATCCCAACAAATAGTCCTGCTAGATATAAAGTAAAGCACCTGTCAAATGATAAAAACTCGTAAATTATGAGTTTTATAATTTGACCTATGTAACCTATTATTATAACATACTACGAGTCATAATATGTTGTAATTATAGGTTACATTTTTACCGTTAATGTACTCTCTAATATTCATGAATCTCTTTTGTTGTCTGGAAAATCAATGACAGGGCTGAAAAAGCAGTCATTGGTTAAACAACAGCTTGTCCCGCCCTCAAAAGACCAGTGATCCAATCAAACGTCACCTCCATTCACCAGGCTCGCGAGGTGGGCGGCAAACGCGCAAAATTTGAAAGTCGACCGGAAACAACGTTAGAAGAGAGGAAAACAGTGTGCTCCTTAGCATATCAATGCTTCAGTGTATATTTAGGACTAAAGTATAATAACCTGCATGGCAGTATGGTGAGTAACGTCCTCCCGTACACTTTGGTCTCTTGAAAAGTAACTGAAGGACACTTCTACGTGTCGCGTCAACGTTCTTGTTTGATAGCAAAGTTAGCAAAAGCTAGCTAACATTAACTTAGCATGCTAAAGGGTCGCTTTGTTGACATTTGTTGACAGTTATTTTCTTAGCTTTTCTAAAACCTTCGTCCTCCGTCTTAGATACCTTTTATTAGTCAACGCGTTTCATTTGAGTACTTACTTCCTTTTACTATCTGTGTGTGATTCGCATAGGTTGTCTGTTGTTAAGAAACAATGTTGAAGTTCAAATACGCGAGTCAAGGAAGCCTGAAAACGATGATGACCTCTGCGGACCCCATCACCAGCCGCAGCTCCAGGCTCAACCAATTATTTCAGGTAAAGTTGTGTATATCGTTGATGTCCTTATGCCATAACTGTAGACGAGCAGCCACCTTCTCCGCCAGCAGCTGCACAGACAGTGGAGCTCCTTCTCAAACAGTCTCATTCAGCTCCAGACAGATTCAGGAAGTCATTCCTGCCAACAGCAATAACTCTGTACAACAAATCACCTCTGGCTAGCAGAGAACTGCTCCATCGTTACTCTTTGATAACTTTCCTTAAAAAAACATTATTCTTCCATCTGTATGTAGTGTCTTCACACTGTACTTTTTACATTTATACTTAATTTAATATGCTGTGTCATGCACACTTAATGTAAATAATATCCTACATGTTTATTTTGTTAGCTGTAATTGCTCATGCATTGTGTATATTTTACAGAATATATTTTTCACTGTCAATATGTCTATATTTAACTTTTTTGTTCTGTTTAATTATATATTTTTTACATTTGATTATTTTACGTTTGTTTCCCACATTGGGGTCAATAAAGTAAATATAATCTATGTTGTACGTCTTAAAACCAGCCGCAGTAACTGTCAGCAGCTGATCCTGTGTCTGTGCGTCTGCAGGGCCGGGTCAGCCTGTGTGGGCCGCAGGGAGGAGGCACTTTAGGTCGGGAGGAGTTTCTGGAGGCTCTGCTGCTTCTCTACCAGGAGTGCATGTCCCCAGAGCTTATGAAGATACATCATGTGGCAAACTTTGTCAAAAAGTGTAAGCATACCCTTTACACACGTGCATGATATTATTTGTTTTGTTGTCTATTTGTGTTATCCATCTTATTAGTGGAAAGTCTGAAAGGTGTCAGTTGATTTGATTGGGTCAGCTTTTAAACATTCCTATTTATGTTTTTGGAGCTTTTGTTTTTGAAGACTATATTATTGATTTGGGCTCAACAGTCTGGAAAAAATATGTATTATTTAGTACTAATAATGGTGATTTTTGGTACATTATTATCACAAATATTGCTACTTCTCCAATTTCATTATTACACATCTGATAATTGTTCAGCCCTTATTCTTTCATTTTGTTTCTGTTTTCTAGTTTGAATATTCACAATTGGCAAATAAAGACCATTATACCAATATTGGTTTGTTATTTTCAATACCAGAATGACATCATTTATGTCATACCAATAGAAGTTCAATGTGTATGTCACTGTGTATCACAATAGAACACATTTTTGTAAATATAGTAAGTTTACATTTCAAAATCTTAAAAATGTGTGTCACTTAATTTCCCAGAAACAAAGAATTAAAGGCTGTCGGTGTGTTTGTGAATCAGTTTCTGAAGTGGTCTCCGAGCTGCGGGACATGCAGCCTGGTCCTGCTGACTTTGAAGTGTGTGCAGTGGTGGGCCGTGGTCACTTCGCTGAAGTCCAAGTGGTCCGAGAGAAGGCAACTGGGAATGTTTGTGCACTGAAGGTCATGGAGAAGGCCGTTTTACGCACTCAAGAAAATGTAAGTGACTGCTTTAATAGATTACTACAGTAGAGTCAACCAGTAGGAAGTATATCGAATATCAACTTTAGCATTTTTTTTTTTTCAATTAATGATTGGTGTTACGACATTAGAGGCCTTTTTATACCGATTACAGTCTTATATGTCACAGTAGGAATTTAGCACATTTATCTGAGTATTAAACATAAGATAAGAGATGGATGACTGGGACACACCACCATTGTAAATATTGTTACAAACAGCTGTGCTTTTCCTGCTGTTACTAGTCAAAATTCAGAAGCCTGATATGCCTGAGCATTGTTTTCCAACCATTATCAACAACAGCTCAGTTTCTGCACACTTTTTTAAAGGTCAATGATTTTAGACTTATTTCATTTAACCATGACATTGGTTTTGAAATGAACTAAATCATTTAGGGTTTAACATCCCCACTTACACATTACCAAAATGCAGTTGATTATCACCAAATAAACATGAATAAATCATGTAAATTGAAAAGAAAAGCACATACAAAGCCGTATCTGTAAGACTCAAAACAGTTTATGGAAATCTTGTTTTTTTTAATGTTTGCAATATCCTCCACGCAATCATTGTGTTTTTGTTGTTGTTCCAAAAACATTGCATTCTGAAAAAGCGCCACTGGAGGGGGTTGTAGGGTTGAATAAAACTTGTGGGCACTTTATCCCACAGCTGTGCTCTCTGGCATGTGACTAATAGAATAGATTTGAGTCAGAATAGTACATGAGCTCTGACAGGAAGGGCCTAACATGAGCAATACAATGAACAACTTGTTCACGCCACCTGGGCCTACTTTGCATAATCGTTGACACAATTATATCCCACTTTGGCTATGAGCAACATGAAATGAAGATAGTCGACAAAGAGTGCATTGAAATGTACTTTAATGTTCCCTATGGTTTAATAGAATAACAACATTGAAACCCCATTGGAGCTTTAATGATAGTAGCTTCTCAGTGTTTTCGACAGATGAGTTAATGTGGGTGACAAACACTGTGTAGCACTGCTGTTGCATTTATATACTGATGTCATGCCTTTTTAATTCTTCTCAGGTGGTTTTTCACGAGGAGGAGCGGAGGGTCTTGGCTCTGAACAGCAGTCCCTGGATCCCGCAGCTTCTGTACGCCTTCCAGGATACAGAACGGGTCTACCTGGTGAGACTGCTGATTGTTTTCTTCTCTGAGGATGAACTGAACTGGTTCCTTTACATACACTTCTACTTATCAGAACAAGGCTTTGGGGGTCTTTTGCAAACGGCCATAGACCAAAGGGGAGTCATTGTGTCATAAACATGCCAAGCCAATGGCAAACATTATGCAGTGCTTTGTGGGTGGATTATACGTTTTAATACCCAGGGTCCTACTTGCAATATGGGTCTGATGGTACTTCAGTTAGTAACCGTAGTATACTAACTGAACAAATGTGATGCCACTGCCAGCTTTAACATTGTTTACAAGAGAGGGTGTTTTAACTTCAGAGCGTTGTGTGTTTTCGTTCTGAACGGTGGGATTACAATGGTAAAGAAGTTACTCACATTACACAAATGATTAGGGCACCAACTAGGGCTGCTCAACTCATCGTATTTTAATCGCAATTACGATTTTGGTTTGCAACGATTATGAAAACAACATAATCAAAATAAAATGATTGTTTATTTATTTATTTAGATTAGTTTTTCAGTTGAATTATACTTAAAGTTCAGGGTGATCAACTGTTAAAAACATACTGTTCACATTTTCTTTTTCAATAAATGGATGCTTTCAAAGAATCGTTTTTAATAATCGTGATATCAATTATTGACCCAAATAATCGAGATTATGATTTTTGCCATAATCGAGCCGCCCTAGCACCAACCACGTTATATTCAAAGTGTTTATCGTACACCATTCATATTCATGGTCTTGTTTTCTATGTGTGTCTCGACACAAAGAGTAACATATTTCAAAGTCAACGTCTAAATGCGTTTTCAACATGTTGACTCTAAATCTTATCACTTTCAGAAATAGTATTATTTTGCATTAAAACCACAGTTAGGCGAAAAGAGAAATTGTCAGGAAGTGTTACTTTGCTTAACTCACAAAGTAGAAACAGGGAAAAGGTCTGATCTCATTAAAAGGTCAAATCCACCATTCAACAACCTAATAATTACCCACTCAAATATTACCTCCAATATATAAACTTGACCTGCTACTACAACTGTAATGTCTTTAATTCTTGTATGTGTTTCATGCAAAGAGCAGAACATATCAAAATGTTATATAAGGCAATGAACATGAAAACTTT